GTGCCATTACATTCCATAGACGAATTGAGTTATCCCCTACTGCCAGATGCTTATGTAGAACCATCAGGAGGGTAACAAATTGATTAAACTGTCCCAGAATGACCATCTAATTTTATCCTGTGTTAACATCCCATTGACGGATGTCTTCTAATCATTTCTATAAGAATAGAGTTTTAAACTATGAACCCAAAAGTACCTTGTGAATTTTATCTCAAACAATCCCATATTAATTAATTATGAAGAGCTGATAATAATTTATCATAATAACTAAACAAAGAAACTTATGAATCTAGAATAAAATACAAACAAATTATCAAAACACCTTGTCACAAGATATAAGATTTCAAAATTAAAATGTCAATACCTTCATTTTATAGCCATAAATTTAAACTCTGATTTTTGGGATCTTTACAAATTATGTATTAATTAAAATATGATTCAACTTGAGTATAATTTATTATGGACTATATCAGATATTATATGCATATTATATTTATAAAATAAAATTTAAAGTATAGTTACATATAGTGTAAGAATTGTATATTGAAGCTAATCTTTTGTTCGGATTAAGTGCTTTTTATATTATTGCTAAGGAGACTGAATAATTAACAAACCAAAACTCATTTAAAATCAACTGTTTTACCAATTTATTTCAATCCTTGTAAATAAAATCTTAATGAGAAACCCTCTTCACAGAAGGCTGGACGAAACAACCTTATGAAATGTATAATTAATCCTTAATTAATAACACTAATTCCAAATGAAGATCTGTATGTTACTTTACTAATTTGAGATGGGGTGAATTAATAAATACTTTTTGGATGAAAGAAATGGAGTCAATATTTTAGAGCCTACATACGATTTCTATAGAGAAGTGTAAAGGATGTATAAAAATTGGTACAATTTGCACTTCGTATTCTTCCTTTGTTTAGTCTTTAATCAATTCACCATATTTAGGAATAGAGCAGCTGATTTCTGTCTCTAACAGCTGAAATAATGATGGCTTCAAAAAAATCTTGCTCAAAATCAATAAGAACAAATTTTTGCCTTTATTCTCAATGTCTTAATTTGCAGATCAATTATAAGAACAACTAACTTGCTTTGATGAGTATTTTTCTTGAGCAAACATCTAGTTAAGTCTCAAAACTTCTAAAATTCTTAGGCAATTTGCCAAATTCTTCATATAACAAGTCAATTCTAGTTTAAGTACATAGACCAGAGAGGATAATTCATATCTGATAACAACGTGATAAACTTGCTGTTGCTCAATCATTACGGTTAAAATTACATTATATGCAGAAAAACTACTTTAACTTGCGCCAACATATACTGGTTCCCTCTTCATGAAAAGTATTATCAATAATAAACTGATTGTAAATATCTCAAAATAGTATGAAAAACTTTAACACATCCTCCCAATAAATGCACTTTTTGCTGGATTAAAAAGCATCCTTTTCATAGTATTCTCAGTACACTCAGTGAATTAAATTATGTATAACTTATAGATATAAACTAATAAGTATTTAAACACGCTGTTTTAAATTTAGTAAATCAAGTAAGATGACAGCAAATCCAATCTGATAATGTAGAATATACGAGGATTTTCGCAGTGTATCAATTAAGCAGGAAAATCATTTCAAAGCAGATCTTTAAATCAATTGTGAAATCTCAAGGCTTTATTTATAAGATAGAATCAAAAATTAATTTTACAGCAACTTCTAGTATAAACTAATGCAAATGACATTTGCTTGCTTGAACAATTTTGCAACAAATTAAATTAATTTATATCAATGAATCAGGAATAGGCATAGATTTTATAGAGTTTGGAGTAACAAAAAATAAGATTTCTACAGATCTAGCAGAGGTACTAACGACAATCAATATCATAGGAACATGAGTTAAAATATGTGAATTATGTATTTACCATCTAAGCAGTTTGAAAAGGAAGATTTATTAGAGTGATAGAATTAAATAAAAAATGGTTACTCTAAACCTATATTAAATAGAATTTTGTTAATTTTAAATTTTTAGTATTTTCAGTACACTTTTGAAGGATAGATTTCCAATTTGAAGATGGATCAAACTGTTCTAAGTGCATATACTAATAATGTGAATATCCTTAAGTATACAACTTTACTTGTTTTCTATTTATCAAGTCCATAATTACTTTATTTTTTCAATAAGTTAAGTCTACACAGGCCAAATGGACAGCTGTCTGAGAAGTTTACAATTATCAAGTAATGAAATTGAAGAAACAAGAATATACTCATGTGCAACAAGGATAGGAAGATATTGAGTTACTAGTGCACTAAATCCATCTTAGTTAAACACCAAGAGCCTTACCAAAAGTTAGCTTTTATAGCCTTAAAGGATGTTCGCATCACGACATGCAGAAGAGTGGTCATAAGTAGAGCAATAATATAGTTTTTAAATTGCATCACATTATTTTTAGGTTCTAATTGATGATCGCAAAGTATTATTAACATGTTTTCCAAGTATCAAAAATAATAGCACAAATCATATCAGGTATAAACTAAATTTCAAGCACTCGTCATATGAGATTTGAATAAAGATGTGTTTGTTCAGACATATTTGAAGAAATGCTAATCACAGTAGGACTATTCTTAAAAAATAGCCATCACTAACAAATGCATAAGGATGATAGGCAAATGACTTCTAGTGCTTGAGAGACTTCCCTACCATCAATTTTTGTGAGGTTCTAAATACAGTAAGCAACAGTTGGTTTGATATATAATGAATAGGAATAACCAGTTGTTGTGCAACATAGAACACACTGAGCTCATATGTGCCTCCTTTTTTAGATCATCCCAAGTATATTAGGGCTGACAATATTTATTCTATTAAAAAGGCAGAGACTGAACAATAAGGTTGCAATCCCAGTTTCTTGCATTATATACAAGGCTACATAAGATCATCTATTTGTTCCTCATTCTAAATTATTAACGGTTTCTATTACTTCATATTAGAATTGTGCTTGAATTGGAAAAATGTTCAAATAAAAGGCAATGAAATATGAAGTAAGAATATTTGGAGATTTATATATTAATGTGGAATACGATTAACATGTATGTGCTTCATACATTAATTATGTAAAAATTCTGCTTAGCGTAAGAATAGACAATTAAATGAATCCATCAAATAGAAAACTTTTAATATTGATGAACTCTTTTATAAGTTATTTACATTATATTAACTTTATTTCTGTTTGCTTTTATATAAGGGTCAGCTGGAAATTGTATCAAAAATCTTACCTGTAATTCTTATTGTAATGTAATATGGTTTATTAAATTGTGTAGTTTTGAACACTGTAACGAAGAAACTTCTAGTGTTCAATCACTGCAAACTTATCTAATCTTGAAAACAATCACAGATTCTCATCCGAAGACCAAAGATCATTTTGCAAATGGCTATTCAAACCTGCCCAACATTAGTATGGCTGGATTTCCTAGCCATTACTGACAGAATACAAATGTTTCCCTAAGCCTCCCCCCTTAATAAGAATCTCGACCGTATGGAAACTTATGACAGGAAAGAAATCTTAGCTTCAAATAATCGTTTAAACGATAGTTTATAATTTTAACTTTCAAACTAATATTTCAATTTTTCAAATTCCTTTAACTGCCAATTTCTAAACTAAAGGAACTTTAATTGTAAGTGTCTTAAATGTAGGCTTGCTAAATTCTAACTTTAGTGTGAAATTTGAAAAATAAATGCGGGTATTGAATATAAAATACATAAAAAATAAATGAAATCTACAACGAAGCTATTTTCATTGATGCTAAAGAGGATTGATTATGTTTACAAAGAAACCCTTAAAATACTAATGAACTTAGTTAAATGTAAAGTAGTGAGAATAAGTTGTTAATTAAGTTACACAGTCTTTTATTAATAATAATAATGGTGTCCTTTTAATTCCTTTAGTCTAAACTAAGTTAAAATATCTTATCATCAAGAATTGATAACATTGTTCGGATCATGTGTAATCCGCAAAATTTGAGGACCAGCTTATTATTTATAAAAGAAATCTTCAAGTAAGCCTCCAAAACTTAAATTGCTTTGTAAGAATATTAAACTCTGTATGAACATTTAGAGTTTAGAATATTCGTCAGAACAAGAATTGCCATCATTAGTCAGTTTATGTATAAATTTCAAAGATAATAAAATGGTGACTCTTAAATATGTTTCTTTATAAAACACCTAGAGGATGAAGATTGATAAAATAATCAATTTTCCTAAACATGATTAAAAATTCCTTTTGAATAGATATTACATTTGTAAAATATATTTGAATAAGTTTTGGAAACAAGAATTATCACCCTAGGAAGATTCCAGCTATCTTGCAGCTAATTACCTAAAACACCAACAAGTCTTAATTATATAAATTAATTTAATAAAGTTAGGATTTTAAAGATTTCCAATAAAACTATCACGTATACATTAACCTATAGCAACAAATCATATATGCATAGTCTCCAACCAATTAACTTTTAATTAATAATGATAACCATTAATTTGTAAAAATTACATTACAAAAAGTAAAAGTAACCATACTTAATTAAAAGTGTTAAATAATTTTTATTTAACTAATTTCAATATATTATTTATTTCTAAGGGACAAAGATGAAATATTATATTGTCCAAACCTTCTAATCGTCTCTAGCTCTTTCTTGCTCAACTGTCCTAACAAAAGGTTTCAAAGCACATTTACTAAAATGTTGCAGATTCCATTTATTATAATCAATAACAACAGTACTATGTTTCAATTCCAATTAATAAGCCATAATTATATGAATTGTAGTAGAAATAGCAATACATCAAAAATTTTAACAAGAATTGATGATTATTTATTTTCAATCTTTAGTTCAGAATCAGATATTGTTTTAACTCTCTTCATTCATAACAAAGGACAGTGTAACCTGCTTGAATTTTTTTTTGGAAAGAAATAGAGAATAAAATTATCTAAGTTATGAATACAGCAATTTCACAAAAATACTATCATTGCTGGGGGTTTCTCTGGTGCTTTTAATCTGTAATTCAAATTTGATAATATACATTATTTCATAAATGATTATCTTTCTTTTACATTATTTCATAAATGATTATCTTTCTTTTACATTATTTCATAAATGATTATCTTGCTTTAAAGTTTCAGAACTCACACTTAATTTCTATCTAAAGTAAACTTAACATTCTAAGCCATTTGATGTATTTTTGAGCATAAAGACCCAACAACAGTAGATAAATAATAGCTTAATTAATCCTTTTAAATTAAAGTCTAAATTAATTTTTAGAATATATAGCATAGAAATAATATTTCCATTTTTAATTAATATAATTATGAATTTAATAATTGTGTTTTTATTTGCGGTAGCATATTGCTATCCTATTGTTGTCACTAATACAGACTTGAGCTCTTCTGATTTATTTATAAATTAAATAGATCTATTGAATAAAATAAAATAGCAAGTATATAAAAATATTACTTTAGCAGGAAAACAAAAAAGTGATCTTAATAAATATTCAAACATCTCATTAAGATAATGAAATATTCTAAAGCAAATTACTGAAACAGATAGAAAATTTAAAAAATTTTAAGAAATTGTTAAAATCTAAATCGTCATTTGTTTCGCCATTTATAGATTATTCTCCAATCTAGTTTACTTAAGGGATCTAAAAAGACAATCAAGTATTCTGCTTTATTTATTCAAGTTCGAAGTATAAAATATCCCGATGAACTTTTAAAATTTGAAGGCACTTGACAAATTTGCTTAACAATAGGATGCTATATTGATTGTGCTATTTTCAAAAATATCTTCAAATGTTAAGGTATTAGAAGAAATTACTGAGACTTCAGAGGTATTTATGTATCATTATTAAGCCCTCTGATTAAATTGTAGCTGTAGAGTTAGCTGATGAGAGCGAACTAACTAGCAACACTGTAAAAAGAATTTTTATATATGTAGATATACACAGTTACTTCGAATCAATTAACAGGGTATATCGTCTTCTTTGTTTCAATATTTGCCTTATGGATAGCTGTCTAATGTAATGGAGCAATTTAAACTCCAGAAAGATTTTCAAAATAAAATTATTATATTGGGAAAGAAAGTTGATTAATTTTATATGTATAATGAAAGCGAACATATCACTTTTAAATATTTTTCTAAAGATCTTTTGTTTTTTATGCCAAAACTAAAGGATTGGTTGTAAATCCTACATTTGCATGATTTCCATAAGTGCTACTTGTTTTGTATTATATCTTTTCGGTTCCAAATTGTATTGATGATGCATTTGATTTTGGAGTTTTGTAACTTGGAGATTATAAAATATTTCTTTAAGCATTTGGATTGTATCTGCATAATGGTTTGCTCTTACTAGTGGCAAAAACAGGTGATTATAATTTATATTGTTCTCTAAAAATTTAAAAACTGATTACTAAGATAAACTCTCTTTAACTCCCAATTTAACCATCTATTCTGCGTATGTTTTTTGCGGCTTTTAGAAAAATGGAACAGCCTTCGGAACTCCATTTTCCACTTTGACGCATGCACAATCATTAACTCTGGTTTATTAGAAGAAGGGGTGAGATTTATCCTTAGAGATTTCTTTTTTTTATAGAGTTGTCGAAAAAATATTTTGATTAATCTATTCCGGCTTGGCTGTTTGAGGCCTCAATTTATTTTATTCTGTAGGTTATGATGTGTTTTTAGCAGATTAAGGTCTATTTTACAGATTTGATTAGTTTTCGTTTGTTAACATTTATTATGTTTCCTATTAACTCATTATTAAATAAAATTAATATCAAATAAATATTCATTTTATCCAAAGAGATTTCATAGAAAATGCCATTATTGATTAATTTACTTGAATTCCCCAATCATTAATAAGTTTATGTAATTAATAGTCAGTTAATCTTTCATCATTCAGTAAAGCATTCATATAATATATCAACTCTTTAGGGTTAATCTAATGTTTATAAATGAAATACCTCAAAATGAAATTAAACAGTAATTACATTTGCTAAATTGTTAGTTATAGTAAATTTTGAAGTTGGATAATCTTCAATTATTGCATTTTTTATATTTATAAGAATAATTTCCACATCATATTTTTGATAATGTTTCCCGGCCGGTTTGAAAGCTCCTGATAGTCTTTAACATTCAGAAATAATTTGTTATCTAGATTCTGATTACTTTTTAAGGTCAAAAATATCTTCTGATAAGTGAAAAGGCAGCAAATTTTCTTTACTAAAAAATTAATCATTATATTTAAGTTTCTTTCCGACTGATGCACAATTTAAGAAAGGCTTCGTACTTATGTAATTTTATTTTTCCTAATCCATTAATTGCTTTAATCTTTTTAAATACTTAGCGAAATCATAATCAGTTGGTATATATGTAAAAGGTGCGAAATAATTGTTCATCCCATTAACTTTAAAAGTAGATGAAACATTGTCGACAACATTAAACACTTTTTATTTGGAATTATTCAATAAAGCATTTCCTAGATGGAAAATTTTTTTGATTACTTTTAAAATTTGGCAGTTCCCTAAGCTATGTAAAATTATTGGAGTTAAATGCTTCTCTAATTATTTTTATTTCTCTTGTTTGATCAGTATAAAAAGATGAAGAGAATTTAGTTGGTTGTTCTGTGACGTCAACGAGTCTTTTCTCCTCATTTTCTATATTCAAACAGATTTTCATTATTAATTTATAAAAAATGTAAAAAGAAAAAAAAGTTGTGAAAGCAGTATCTTGTTGGATTATTCTTCGAAATATTATGATGTGGGTTAATATTCTCTTTTCTTTGGCTGTAATTGGACTAGGTAATCAGTTAATCTATTAAAGGAATTTACAAATACACTGATGGAAATTTTAATAATTTTGCAGATGTTTTCATTCCTTTCTATTTGATATTTTTTGGAATTTTGTTGATATTTGCTGAAGCAGAATGGATAATATTAATAAAACACTTTAAATTTTTAGACAATTATTTTGGAAGGTATTCATGACATAATATATTTTAGAGGGTTTTATAATATCTTTTTAGGAACAATGCTTCTAAACATAATAAGCATCAATAATGACGGTGAAGCTGATAGAAATATCACATGGGTGTTAGTTGTTATTGTTTCATCTACCATGGCCTTTGTAGGTGTAATGGAAATCTTTTTGTACATTTGGCATTGTGGAGCTAAAAGCGAAAAATATACAAAATATGATGAAAAATAAGACATGCAATAAAAATTATTGAAAGAAGAGGATAAACTAACCTAATAAATTTCCCAAAATGTTCGAAGCGAAATTGATATAAAATATTCTGCATCTATGCAACCTCAAAGTGCTGTTGTAGATTAATCATAATAAAATTATTAATAATAATATCAATAACCCTACTCATAGCCATATCAACCTTATTAACAATAGGATAATCAAAATTAGCCTATAAATTACACACCAGAGCAAATCTAGAAAATGCAATAAAATCCAGAAGAATATTCTAAATGGTTAAAGCAGTAACTCTTGGTTACGGAAGCAAAGATACCAAAATAATAAGCTCTAGATGGGAATTCCCAATTATGAAAATGATATAAATTTAATAATGAATATGAATATGAAAGTCTCTATATCAGGATACTATTATGAATCAGCTGATAATTAAGTGGATGCTGATGGCTTTAATGATAATTCATCAAAAAAGAGAGAGTCTTAAGATAAGGATTAAAAAGGAGAGCTAGAAAGGATTAATTGCACTTTCAAAGAGGCTTTTTCAAAGTTGTACGAAAATTAAAAATTTGAAAAAGCAGTTTTTAAAGCTGAAGGGGAATATAAATAAATGATTGAGCAGCTCCTTCTATAATGTGAAGTCTTAAATGACCTCATTAATGGCAGTGTAATAGGATCGCAATGTATTATATTATCTACATAGAAATTTCAAGACCTGAGGCTAGCAAATATCTTAAAGATTTATCTGATGTTTAGAGTTAACTTGTAAATCTGAAATAAAAGATCAAAAGAAAACCAAAGTAGGATAAATCAAAGCTTCAAAATTAATTAAATCAAATTTCTTCTGATCCTCCTTAATCAGATAATATCGACATTAACTTATAAATTATTGATGAAAAAGAATTAGATCAATTTTAAAAAAGGATCGAGGTGTTAAATTAAAAAATAGGAATGAATTAAGTTAAAACTAACAATAATGGGGAGACATTTTTTGTTAGAGGCAGTGAATTATTTAGTGGGAGCGATAAAGTGAATGAAAAAAAAGATAAGCATGACTTTAATTTAATAGGATAATACACTTTGCCTATATAAGAAAGTGATCCATAAAATATAATGGCTCATACTTAATTATTAAAAATTTAAGCAAATTTATTACGAAACGATGAAGAGATGATTTAGAAATTGAATCGAATTTATGAATAATAAGAATCGCTAAATAAAACAGAATAGTAATAGGACTTATCTAATTAAGTGTCGATGATTCAAAAAAAGCATGAATTTACTTTGAATAGCATAGATGAAATTCCAAAAATACTTAGTAGATTGATTTCATTAAAGTAATTGCATTAATAAACAATATTTTTACCATAATAACTTGAACAGACTTCATAATAATTAGATTGGATGCTAAAAAGTTTAGATGAAGGATCAGAAATTATTTCTATCCTAGAAGGATAAATAAAATGAAGTTCATATATTATATAAAATAATGTACATTGATCTTGATTTATTAACTTAAATATTATCAAAAATCTGAAGAACAGTATATCTCTTAAATCAAATATTTATAATAAATTATATTTAATTAAATTTAATGGAATACAAATAGTGTGTAAACAATTTCTCATTAATTAAAGTTAGCAATTAAGAATAATAGAACAAATCGATACTTAACCATTGATTAAAATAATCGATTACTTTCTTCAGGTTGCCATCCCTTTTTTAAACATACAGAATGTAACAAATAGCGGGAAATTTTTTAAATTTTGAATGCAGCAAATTAAGATTATGTAGGACCAATAATTATGTAATCTGCAGTTTTGATATATAATCCTGGGTGTGTAATTTAATTTTAAACTCAATTTTAGTTTATAAGCCTATCTTTGTTGTTAATAAAATGGAGAATTAAAGCTTGAAAATATACCATATCAGGAAGCATCACACAGCAAAGCTACAAAATTTATGATATAAGGAACTGTAAATTTGAAAAAAGCAATTACAGAAAATGATGATGTAGTATTTAAATTCAATGATGCTAATTATTTGATATCAGAACTATCTTTATTTTGCTCTTGGAATGGACCGACTATTTCGTAAGATTCTACATGGAAACTGTAAAGAAGCAATTTTCCACCTTTGCCTGATTGGTTCTAGCAAAGACCATATATCTCATTAAGCTATTTACAAAGTTCTGATTAATTAACTTAATGCTTAGTTAAATAAAATGAAAGAAAACCAATAGGGAGTCACTCCTATCAAATTTAATCAATATATTTAATTGAAGATCTTTTATATGCCATGATGAGTATAGAAGGTTAGTATATTAAAAAAAAAAATGGTTCATTTGAGTATCAAATAGAGGGTCATTTAGAATAAAGCACTTGTGACCTATCATTATAATAAATGGTGTCCAAAATTCTGCCAATGTGCTCTCAGCATGATTTCATTGAAAACTATATCCAATAAAAGATAAAATTTGAAAATGGATACATTTCTTAAGCATTTTGCTCAGCAATTAAGGAATTAATGCAAAAATATCTATTAATGGTCAATTAACTTGATTATGAATTTAATTAAGGAGAAATAACTTTATAAAAATTTTGGTATTACACTCAACCATCAATAAGAATAATTAATTCAATTTATGTTTTAATTTAAAGTTTATCTAAATAAATTGGTGGCACTTTATTGAGTACAATTACCAATTTTATCAATACAAGCACAGACCCTTAAATAGTTGAAGTTTATTCATTCTTGCTTTAAAAATCGTTTATCCCATACATGAAACAGCTTTCAAATTGGATATATTATGGTAGAATAGATGATCCCTTTGAAGAATTTTTAGTTGCAGAAAAAAAAATTCAGAAATCCTCTTTGGAAACAGACTATAAAAACGATTTTTGGGATTAGCGATTTGCACTGAGAAATTCTTAGATTCCTAAATTTCTTGAGAAATATTAAGATATAATTTTAAGGACTGGTAAATATATTAATGTAATTGGGTAAAAAGAATCTCCTTTTGATAATTTTTTAATTAAGAATTAAGGTCATATAGTTTAAAATTAGGATTTCTCTCACTTGGTATCCTGCTTTGAATGGGCTAATAAAGAAATCATAAACCTCTTGTTTTAAAAAGAAAATATTCATAAAAGATTAAAAACAATTAAAACCTTCTTTCTATTTGATTCAGGGGATTTCTTTATTCATTTCATCGAAGCTGCAGAATCTGAACTGGTTAAAGATATAAGAGAAATTTCAAAGGAAAAACTTGAAAGTTTATTTGATCTGGCTGTTAGATCAATAGCCAGTAATGATGCATATAAAGATGATTTGGTCTGTTATATTGATTAATATACAATAAGTGAATAAATTTACGCAATCAGAAATTTGAGAGGAATTGATATTAATGAAAATAAGCCTCCTAGAAATTAAAAACTAAAAGGAATAGAATTATTCACATTGGATATAAAGGTTGAATGGCCTGCGAATTTAATATTTTCTAGAGCTAGCTTGCTAAATTATTAAATTCTATTTAGAAGTCTCATGAGCTTGAATTATTTATTAAAATAACTCAATGAAGCATGGGTATTTTAAAAATAGCTAAAAGACACTGGATTGCATTAAAAATTTTTGAAACAAAATTTTTTACTTTCAAGAATGCAGCATTTAGTGAAAAATTATGTAATATTATACAACTTATATTAGTTATATTATGTGTCGTATGATGTCGTAGAAAAGAATTACACAAGTTTAATTTAGAACTTATAAAATGCAGACAATTTTGAGGAAGTTAAAGAATAGCACATGAGATTTTCAGAGAATTGCTTGAAAGAATCTCTTATAATTGACTAGGACTTTTGGAAGATCTTTAATAAATGCACAAATTTTTGCAGCCAGTTTAGTTCATAAATTCAAAAATAAAATTCATCATTGATGTCCTTTTTTAAAGATGATTTTGTATCCAAAAAGGTGTAAATAAATGAAAAAATTACTGAATTAGTTAGTGGAAAGCAATTTTAAACATTGTATGAAACATTCATAAAGAATTTTGATGAAGCTTATAGAGAACTAATCAAAATTATTAAAATTTAGTAAGAATATTATTTATAATATTAGTATATCTTAATCAAAGACTTATGTAGTAAGTTTAATGATAAGGTTAGATTATTAATTTGACTATCTATGATTTGAAATATTTCATATTATAAAATATTATGTATTTTAATTGTTCCTTAAATTTACTAATAAAGTTTATTTCATTAAGGTTATTTGATAACGTGCTTTCTAAAATAAAATAATGATTATCTGATTAGAGTCTCTAAGAAAAGTAATTTTATTTAAAAGCAATATAAAGAAGTAATTATACGTCAAACAACATCACTTTTTCCTATAATTTTAGCACTTATAAATTCAATAAAGTCATGAGATTTAAATAAATAATAATTCAAAATTTAAATATGTAAACATAAATTGTTCACGAAAGCATAGAAGAATATAAGCGTTATAATAAAGTTTTAGAAGGAAATAAGAGTTATGTGAATAAAAAACTAGCTTAAGATGAGGATTACTTTAGAAAGTTAGCTAAGGGTCAAAATCCAAAATACTTATTAATTGGTTGCTCAGATTCAAGAGCACCCCCTAATGAAATCACAGAGACTGATCCTGGAGAAATTTTCATCCACAGAAATATTGCGAATATAGTCATTCCAACAGATTTAAATGTAAATAAAATACTAAATTTAGATCAACTGTGTAATTTAATATGCCATAGAGCATCTAAAAGTTCACAACATCATTGTAATGGGACATACATGTTGTGGTGGCATTAAGGCTGCTATGAAGTAGGATTCAGTGGGGGGATTACTAGATTTATGGTTAAACTAAATTAAATTAGTTTATGAAAAACATTAAGAGTTAATCAATTCTTTTACTGAGGAAGATGATTAAATAAATTGTTTATGCTGTATGAATGTTAGGGAATAAGTATTAAATATTTGGAGAAACCCAATTGTCTAGAAATCATGGCAAGAAGGACATCGTATTATTTTCCAAATATATTTTAGCCGTAATGGTTCATGGGTGGCTATTTAGAGTAGAAACTGGTTTTATAGAGGAGCTATCTTTGGAAGATAGCATACCAGAAGAAATGTCAAAAATTTTTAAAATAAAATTCAAACCACCTAAGGTTTAATCTCCAACCTAACATGAAGATGAGGAAGGCAATGCGATTTCTCCTATGAGAGCAAGAAGAAGATTTTAAAGAATGTAGAGCAGAATTGAAACTGGAATCAGACATTTTACTATTCACATGTAGAATGTAAATGAGGAAGAAATAGAACATAAAATAGTTGAAAATATTGAGTAAGATTTAAACGTGTGACTTGCTTAATCAAGAATAATATTATTCAAATCATATCTATCAAAATATTCTAATTTTAGATTTTCAAATAGTGAATTTTGTTCTAAATAGAATCCATATTCACTTTTGAAATTGAATAGAGAGACAATATTTAATAAGTGTATGTCCCTCATATATGAAATTCAATATCATCTCCTATAATTTTTTATTATGAGGAATATTTTCTGAAAGAGGGAAAGTAACTTATCATTTTTAAGTCTACAATGAAACTTAGTTTAAAGTGGATGAGAATGTTTACAATACCAAAAAATTCATAAAAAAAATATTTTTGAAAATGTTATTATAAAAAACATATATATAGAGCATTAAAAATATATATTTATGTCTCATCTTTGTACAGTCGATTCGTTTGATTTCAGATTGTTATTTGCAAGAGTCTGTTATTGATTTTCTACTTCTATGGCACTGTTATTATTTCTTATTTTTTTTGAATGATAAGTGGGATCACATTCATCGATCTAATTTTATTTATTATTCCTTTCGTATAACTTATAAGCGATTTGGATATGATAAGAGTTTCGTTTAAATTATTTTAATTCTACTTATTTTTTTTTTTATATATGTTGATGTGGCTGCTAATGTTATTTTTTTCGCTTTTATTTCTTCAAACCTAAATATGAAAAATCACATCAACTTTTATTTATTTGGATGATGAGCTCGTGAAAAGTCTTCACGACTTCTTTAAATTCTTGATCATTAAAAAGTTTCTAGCGAGCACAAACCTCTTAGTTTTTATTATTCATTAATTTTATAATATAAGTACTAATTGATACACAACTATTAAAATAACTTGATCATTGTTTCTTATAGAATTGATGTGATTGCTCCTCTTCTTTAAACTTAATCAATTAAAAAACTGAGCTTTGGAAATGAGTTTTCAATTCTGATAATTATAATGTTCAATCGTTAAAATAATAATAATCATCTTTTTAAAGCTGGTACATATGAAGCCTATTGTTTGAATGTATTCATTTTTTCATCCTTAATTTTAGCATCATCCTGTAATGCTGTTTTACGAGCATTAGCAAATGTTTAACCGAAAATATTTGCCGCTACAACTCTTTTTTACATCCCAGTATATCCAGGTAATGGTGTTCCAAGTGGTACTAGCATATTGACATATAATTTACTTGGCACTTTTTGTCCAGGATCACCATAAAACTTGTGTGTTGCTTGATCAATTGTTTCTGATTGTTATTCATATTCACTCTTCCAATTTTGTAAAGATTCTCTCAATTATGGATTTCCTTGCTGATCTACTTTGAAAAAAGTCTTAGCAGTTTCAGTTTAAGGCTAACATTGAATTAAGAAAGGACATTACAATCTTGTATTCGATAGGCTTGGGCTTCACACCTACAATTTCAGCTGCTGTTCTCAACTATACTTTATTCTAATTTTGATAAGTGTCTTTTAGCTATGATTTATATCTTAATTCAGGTGGCACATCTTATCCCTTGTAGTAATCATCATGTTAAATTGAGTATGTAATTTTGCCATAAGTTTAAGCAAATAAATTTTCAGCTTTCATTGATTTTATTTCACCTGCATAGCCTAATATAAGAATAATTATGACTAATAACCTGGTATATGATTTTATGGTTTTTCTTCTTAGTAGTACCCAACTTGTTGTTCAAAAAAACCTTTTGGAATATGTCCAGTATATCCTGGGACGATGTATTGCAATCTTGTGCCTTCAAACATAAAATAAATTAAATAAAATAATCTAATAACAATTCATTTAATTCTCAATATAAATTGCATTTATGCTTCATCCATTATGCTTATCAATTATAAAATCCAATTACTATGACGTCTCAATTCCTCAAAGTGCTATTTATTATTTTTTATTTAATTCAGTTAAATTAGGGAGAAAAAAATAACGTGCTTAATTCATTAATTTTTATGAATTATTAAAATATATAAACAATATATTTTACAGCACGCTTCTAAAAACCTACTTCTCTAATTATTTTGTTAATAACTATTAAGATTTAAAAAATAGATAAAAGGCATGAGAGAATAACTTAATATACAATAGGATAAAATCGTATTAAATTTTGTATTAATAACATCTGTATGGTATTCAAAATATACTGCATGGTTCACCTTATGCTCCATCAGTTGGTGCATTCAAAAAGTTCAACGGATTTTCATTTCCTCCAAATACTTCTTAAGGAGGATCTCCTTCAGCCTACATGTTTTCAAATAATTATATTAATTTTTCCTTATCATTAGGATTATTGTTTAATTGATCAATTATCTTTTCCACACAGTCTTTTTATTTTTTATATTTTAATAATTCTTCTTCACTCAATTTATTTTTATTTTCCTTAAAAATAAATGATTAATACTTAAATAAATTTGTTATAAGCTTCATAGGTTTCTTTCATCGGTTGCTCCAAAACTTCTTTATCCATAAATTACAATAACATTTTATCAGCTAATTCATCAAATTATGGAGCCTATTCTAGTTTCTCAAAGGTGTCCTAAAATGCCTTTTATTATTCCCTATTAATAAATAATTTGAAGCTACTAGTTGCCCGGATTGATTCCTTCTAGGATATTTCCCATCATTCCTTGGAACTGCTTCAGCAATTAATCGGTTCCTACATTTTAGCCTTCTCCTCCCTTTAAAGAATTTAGAAAATTTTCGCATTCCTTATTTATTGCCTCGTCTTCTGATATAGTTTTAATTACCTTCATCATCATTTTGATCAGCTGTTAGATTAAGCTTGTGCTCTCCATCAAGGGCTTCAGCAATATCATCCATAATATCATCTCCTTTTTAATCCATAATATAATATTTATTTTAATGAATTCAAGGCTTTCTAATTTAACGCCAATTCGATCCAGGGAAAATATCTTAAAGGATGAATAACATGAACCACATCATTAAAGGAGAACAAAAATTGTCTGTTCTATAAATGAAAAAACATGTGAGATCGATATTATTAGAGAAATGTTAAAAGCAGGAGCTAATGCACTCAGGTTTGTTCTTATTAGACATTATAATATTAGTATAAACACAGCTTACACTCATGACAGAAGATAATATGAGAAATTAAAAATGATCAGAGACCAATTGGAGTAAGAACTAGATCATACAATCCCAATTAATATGATGCTTTAAGGAAAGATAACTAGAATAGGTCATTTAAGATAGCCAGAAATATACTTAAAAGTATAATCATTATTCTTAGAGAATAGAAAGGAAATATCATAAGAATTACTTAAGACAATAAAGTGATTGGTGATGAAAATATCATTTGTGTAGACCAAGATGAACTTTTTACATAAGCAAAGGTTGGAGATCAAATATTCATTGATTATGGCTAGATCGTGTTAAATATCAAAGCCTAAGAAACAGATTAGGAGTAAAATTATAAAGGAATTTAAAAGGGCTAAATAGATTTTAATGGAAAAATATCCAGATTTGTACCCCACAGAAGCCATGTTTAAAAATAGTATATTTGAGTAAGATAAATCCGAAAAAAGTAAATTGTAGTCTAAAAGTTCTTTATCCAGCGAAAACTCAAGAGGAGCTTCGTCTACACAATTGTAATCCAAAAAACAAAAATATATTGATTAAATCATCTAAAATAAAAAGCAAAAGCTTGCTACAAAAAGTTTAATAGTTTTCATTTGTGAAATCGAATAAAATTGTAAAAATGTGCTCTAAATAAAGGTTTAATGAGACCATTTAAACCATTATTTATTACAAATAGAACTAAAGAATAAAAATAGATTATAAAACAGTCGGATGATTCTGATGAAGAGATTGAAACCTAGATTACTTCTAAAGATATAAATGACTTCACTATTGCCAAAAGATTAGATTTTGATTCTATTACATTGTCAAATGTAAGTAGACCTGAAGAAGTGCATGAAGTTCTCAAATATCTTATAAATAGTTAAAACACTTGTTGGGTTCGTCAACAAATATTCAGATCTTTGTTAGAATAACAACATAGGAGGGGATAAATAATTTTGATAAAATAATGGAAATTGCAGATGGTTGTATAATTGCTAGAGCTTATTTGGCAACTTGGGCATAAATTGAGGACGTTGTATAAATGTAACACGATATGATATTAAATTGCAGAAAACTTGTTAAACCAGTAGTATTTTAATTAATTAGGTTTTAATTTCAACATAAATTTTGGAATCAATGCTTACTTAGACGAATCCTACATTTGCCGAAATGGGAGATATCGCAGATGTAGTCGAATAACATATTGATGGTATTATGTTATCTGGAGAAACTACTTATGGAAATCACCCTATTAAAGTAGTTTAAGCTTTAGCAAGAATCAGCACAAATATAGAAATGCACACTAGATTGTAATATCAGGGAATATTTTAAATTAAAATTTAAGAGAATCCCATTGCTTCCATTATAGCTTAGAATGCAATTGAAAATGCCTACAGGTATTATTAAATTTAATTAGTCTGCGCGTGAAACTGATATTACTGTTTACTACAGGAGAAACAGCCTTAAGCTTATCAAAATTACATGCTCCTTGTCCAATAGTTGCAGTAACAGCAAAGAAAACAATTGCTAGAAATCTCAACATAGTAAATGGTGTGATTCCATTTCTGGTTGGAAGCCTAGTTGGAATTGAATAGTAAAAATATTCAAATAAATTTAAGATTAACTCCTAGAATATTGGAAAATTTTAAATAGAAAGGATGGATTAAACAAGGGGATTATATTATTAGCATATCTGGGTTATTTGGAACATAAGAAGGCATAATCAATTAGATGACAATTTTGCTTATTTGATTAAAATTGTTTATCATATAGAAAGAATGTTCTTTTGTAAAACTATATAAAATCATATGTATATAAATTATTTCTATTATCACGCGTTTCAAATTATGACTTCTTTGTTTTTTAGCTATTTTGATTATTTATTCTTGTAAATTTAATGAAAATTAGTTTATAAAATCTTAACATAATATTCTCAAAAATGAGCTATAACCTTCTTTTATTAACAATCCATTTCGGAATAAGTGCAGAAAAATGGATATAACAAGACACCTTTGGACTGCAATAATTAAACATACTCAATAATAATTATGATGATGTAGTATTTGAAGCAAACTTTAGTGAAAAATAAGTAAGCATTTTAATGATTTGTGAAACAACACCAAACTTTACAAGTTTAAGTGAGATCTATGATGATTAAAAGTATTCTTAATTATATGAAGTTTTTAATGCATATGTGATTGGAATGCTTTCGAATTTACTGAAACCTCGTAAAAATTAATGTTGATAAGAGATTCTGAAAAGAACTATAATTCATACTTTACTAATACCAAATTTTCAAAAAGTGTAAGTATTTATGTTGGCATATTTTCAAAATCTAATGATTCTCTAAACATATCAATAAACTCAAAATTACAAGATGATTGCTTAAGGTATTATTTATTTTAATCAGAGTTTATGCAAGAACAGTGGATAATGTATTTAACATACTTGCAATTGTCTTGAAGGATATTTCGGTTATGATTGTGAATATTAAGGATTTGATATTTTGGTATAGGATTACCTAGAAAAAGATAAATTGTATTATCTTGATGTAATGAAGATTGGAAGTTCTGACTTTTCTTTAGAATTTTAAAATTCTGGAAAGGTTAGTCATTAATGTTTCTTGGAAAATCCTTACTTAAGAAAAGCGGCGATTGAGGAATCAACTAGTATAAAAATATCTGCAGAAGATATTATGAAATGTCAATTGATTAGTACACCATCATCCAAGACTTAGCATTATATTATAATCTAATCATATTCAGTTGGTTTCATCTACATTCAATACTATTAAAAGGAGGAAATAGACCATTTCAAAACTATTATCATAACTGTAGTATCAACTGGGGCTATCTGCTTATGCTGCTTTGTGATTTGCATTTTTAAATGTTACAGACTCAAACTCGAGAAAACATAATAAACAAACATTGCCAACAATATTGCGAATCTTTCTTAGAACTAAAAGATATTTGAGAGCTCTTTTGACTGGACTCACTTAATTCCTGCTGTTGAATATTAGAGTCTTTTAAGGAAATCCCCTTAAATAAAGGATTAAATTGAATGTTAGATTTGTTTAGATTCTTTCAAATATGAACAATTTGTTAGAGTCACATATTGCATGCATGTTTATCATTATAAATGTTTTGATAAATGGATGAAATAAAATTTAGTAAAATTAGTTATTTATAAAAGATTTGTCCTATCTGCAGATCTCCATAAGATAGAAAATCTATAGACAAGATTTTGGTTTAAGAAAATCTGGTGAATGTAGCCTAATCATATTCTTAGAGTAGTAATAGAAATCCAGAGGGTCATTCATAATATTTATACTAACCAAGAAATAAGCGCTATGGAGATTTCCCTATTTTAACAAATAATAGAACTGGAGGATCGTCAAAACTAATATAAAGCAATTGAATCTTCATTGATTTTATTTATATATTTATTAGAAACACATAAATTCATGTAATTAATGTAAATTTATCTTAACTTGTATTAATTTACGTGGTCTCAATTCTGGCATGATTCATAACATTCAGTTGATAAAACTTATTTTTTCCTGGATCTGTTTTGGTATTTAATTTTTGCTTTGATAACAACATGAAATCATTATCATTCAACTGATTTTCATGAGGTAATATATTAGGGAATTCAGATGAATCTTTATCTAATAACTTCAATTTGATGCCAACATTATGACTATTAACAATTAGATTACGCTCTTGTATAGATTGAAGTATAAATTATATTCTAGAGATCTCATATAAAATGTTCTTAACTTTCATCTTTTAAGCAGCATCCTGTTTTAGTTTCTCATAATATTTTGTAAATTCAATTGGATCATATGATTATCCATACCCAGTTACTTTAGTAATTTTTCCAACAAAGTTTTATCTGATTTATAGGAATCTAAATTAAGGATAATAGAATGAAATGATCTTTCGATAGAGATATTCTGATTGATTAAATTCATTAAATAACACAGCACAATAGGATAAGATCAAGATGATTGACCAAATTGAACCAATAGAAGCTAACACCTCATCTAAATGTGCATAAGTGATATAGTTAATTTGTTGAATGTTATCTAATGAAAAAGTGAATTGTGCGTAGATGCTTTTTTTGTATATTTATTGTTGGGTATTCAATTAGAGTGATTGAGTAGCTAATGTATAATCACTTATAAATTAATATTGGTTATTTTCTGGGAATACAACTCCATTATCGATTTAAGCATAAGATGTTTTGACAGAATATTTATTAAATATAGTTTATTCTTTTTAAATAATGAATTCTAATTTTTTAGGTATCCTATAAAATTCCTCAGTTTTCACATTAAATTTGGTTACCTAAATAACAACTGAAATAGTAGTCTTAGAATTAAAGAAATCACTTATTTCTTGATCACTTGCACAAGTCATGCCTTCAATTATATATTCTGAAGAACATGCTATAAATTACAGTTAAGCGTCTAGATTTTCCGTTGGACTTAATTTGAATTTATAATTTTTAGGCACAACCCAACCATCAGCATTAGGAAATACAACAACTGGGTCTGACTTAACTTAATTAGTTAGGACATAAAATTGTGGAACCAGAATGTTGTTAACCTTCGAGAAAGGATCGACATCATTCGAAAGTTTAATTTGAACTAGATCATAGTCAAATTCCATATAAAGATTTTCTTTTACTTCTTCTGACAATGAACTTCTTGGTAATATTTGATGGGTTCCCCATTATATGAACATATAAATCATGTAGGAGATGCATAAACTATAGAGGGTTATTGTGATCAATCCGCCAAAGAAAGTTTAGTAAGCATCTTTAGAATTGAAGGTTGGACGATAAACAGCTCCAAATTAATCAGCTTTAGTTATTAATTTAATCATTAATTACCCATAATATAATGATAGATATAAGTTTTTGATTATATAATTTATTAATAACAATGATTTAATGATGAAAATTGTAATTAATATTTGTACATGATTATATCGATCTGCTATTCTGACTTTATAAACATTTTATATATTAACATAATATATCATTTTTAGGGTGGTGTTCTGGGGATTTTAGGTTTATGTTAAAATGCATTTTTATACTATCCATATTAATAAGAATTACTTCATCATTTCTTTCGTAGCTCGGTTATTCTAATGGTGCTTCAATTGCTGGCTTAATCTCTGGTATTGGTTATCTTTGCTGAGAATTATTGTTTTGTTAAGAAGATTTCATACTTTATTATTATTACTAGAATTGCTATTCAGACTGTTCAAAATTAACTGTAGGTCTATCCTATCCGACTGGTGTTCTGGCGAGTTTGGGTCGAGGCTTCATTTCAGATGGCAATTAGGATTTTTGTAATTAACTTGCGGAAATGACAGGAGTGGTTGGTCTAAAAGGTTATTATTAGGAACTCTTTGGTGTCATAGCTTTTTTATTTTAGTTTTCCTGCATAATAATGGATCTGGTCATTGTATTTTACTATGCGAATATTAATAAATATAAACTTAAATTGCCTCTTAGTGGGATAAACTAAAATGAGCATTAAGTAGTTCTTCTCCAACCAATTCTCCATCCTTAGCCTTTAAAGCATCTTCAGCATCTTCTTCCTCTATTGTGTCTTCACTATCATCGATATCATCTATGTCATCTACATCATTATCTTCATCTGGTTCTAATTCATCTGGACCAATTTTGTTAATTTATTCTAAAATATATTAAATCTATTTAATGAATCGGTCATCAGAATTTTACATCAACAGAACCAATCGTTCTTTCATTCCCAATGCTTGTGCCTGTTCTCTCATTTAAGAAATGGAAAACAAAGAGTATAAAGTACCATTTACAAATGTTCTTACTTACATATTGTCATGTTCTAATAGTTCATTCAATACTTTAAGAACATCTCTCTTAAATTCTACACATTTCTGTTTCCCCTAATCTCTCATACTGAGATTCATAAATAATGCTGTTGCATATTCATATGAGTATTCACTTAAGGACTCCTTTTCATTTTCCAAAGTTTTCACTATCCATTTTATTACATCATTTTCTATCATAACAACTTAAGGCCTTCTTCTTAAAGATAGTTTTTGAAGAGCTCCCAACGCATTTCTTCTGACTAATGAGTCATCCTTCTCTTTTTTTAATATGTCAATCAAGGTTTTGATTAGAGTAAATGATGCCATCAAATAGCTTCTTCCTTAATAGTCACTCGCCATCGCATTAGTTAAACGTAATGTATATTCCTTAACGGAATTAGGAGCATCAACTAACAACCTTTGCAACACTGCTGTATTACCAGGAGTGCAGCCCAAAATATCGAATTAAGCATATTAAATTAAGATTTCTCTTCTAACTCTAGCTCCTTTTGCTGTTGTAATTCTAAATCTTAAGGCTTATAAAATTCTACAGATAAATCCAGGGTCGCTTGAACTATCTTAGAAGACTGACTTGATTTTTGAATAATTTAATTACACATAAGGTATTTATGGTTAGTTAAAATTAAAGTGTAATTATTAGGAGTGTTGTGGTATGGGACTTATGCTCAAATCATTTTCAAAGATGCTTACTTTATCATACATAGAGATATCTTAACTCTAACTAATTATCTCCTCCACTGATGTACTGAAAAATTGAGATAATTTAGCTAATTTCTTTAATTGTTCATCCAATTGATTTTATGGAACTTGATTTCCTTTTCTACTGTCTTCTAGCATTTTATTTAATTAATTAGCAATATCAGTAACCTCCTTGTTTAATTGAAACCATTTTTATTGAGCCTCTATCATAGTTTACTTGCTTTATTCAATATAATCTCTAAATTTCTTTTACATTTAATTATATTTCAAATTATAATCCTATATAACAGCCAACAATTCTTGATTGTTCATCCCCAAATTTGTTGTGTAATTTTAATTAGATGATGTTAAATTCTATCATAAGATCTAATATAGTACCACTTTCTTGGGTTCATCTGTAAAGTTTTGATACATCTGTTCCATTACTGTTAATTATTCTCTATTTAATAATTCGTGTGTCAATCTAACAAGTTTCCCTTTGGTCTCCAGAATCCATTGATTTTAAAACAAATGTTTATAAGTTTAGTGTTCTTGTGGCCTTTGTACATATGGAAGAGCATAATATGGAAGAAATTCTGTGGTTTTGGATAGCCTAAATTAAACAAGAATTTCATACTCTTAGCCTTTAGTATCGAGGTATGTCTTAAAGTAATGAAGTGCGGCCTTGCTAATTACGCCTCCTTTTTTACCAGTTTTAGGATGTATTTCATAGATTAAGAAATAGATTTAGATGTAAAACTCTAATTTCTTAGCGTCATCGTCCTTCATTCTTAGATTATAAGGAAGATATTTGTTCCATAACATGAAAAACATTTCATATTATCCTTTATCAAAATACTAATTAATTTGAAATGTAACATACTTCAAGTAGTTCGGAATCCAAATGATAGGTCTCAGCTCCCATTTATCCTGAAGCTAATTCTTTTGATAATGTATCCAAAGTGTTAAGCAATTAGTATCTAACTAGATACTCTTGGATTAAACTAATTATTGATTCTTATGTTGGATCGAGTATAGTCTCTATATATAATTATTCCTGTTATTATTCTTGCTTCTTGGATTGCTGAGGAACAGTTTGTTTAGTTACTTTTTTCTTTGTCGGTGGCTGGTATTTGCTCATAATATAGTTATTATTATTAAAATTATAATAATTTTTATAAACCAAATCACAACCCTAGTAATTACTTAACATAGGCAACCTTATCCACTTATTTGTACCATGTTTTAAAGTCTATATAAGTAATTTCTTCTGTTTTAAAGATATTTTGTCTAATTCTTTATTTTCCGATTAAATTTGTGTCATCTATGTACGATTGCCTCTAAATAAAATCAAGATAAATTAATCTCTTCCTGTAAATACCCTCTAATTCAACGATGAAGTCGACTTGGTAAATTTGCACATTTGCTTGCTTCTTTATTTTGATGATACGCCAATCAGGTCTTTTCTATTTATTTAATTCTTGTTAAATTTATTATAGTATTTCATCCATATCAAAATTTGCCTAACTGAATTCAGGTTAATGTTTTAGGTTTGTGCCATTAAAATAAATAGATCTAAGTTCCTCTTTGTTTTCAATATTGAGTGGTAGATTGTAGCTATTTTCAAGAATATATATAATTTGATAATAATAGCATTTTTCTAGAGTGCTTGATTTTTCCATTAAATTTTATAATTTCCCAAAAAGAATCTTAATCAATTGTATATTTTATGAGTTGGCATAGATTAATCCAAATAACAAATCAATTATTTCTATTTGTTTTGTGAATTGCTCCATATTTCTTTCAATCTAAAATTAAATATAATAATCATACAAATTCTTCTTCTTCTGTTATTTTTATTCCTATCCAATAAAAATTGCAGAGTCCTTTCAAAGCTACTGGATAATGTTAAATTGAAATATCTCGAATTTGCTCATAAATTTATTTACAAAATAATTCTTATTTATTTGGGATATCCAATTCTTTTTGAGTCTTTTTTAAAAAGAATAATCTATCTTGTAAAGATAGTTGATCTTTCAACTTGGTCAAGTACACAAATAACCTTTTGTATAATATCGACACAGTTCTATGATTTCCAAATTTTTATGAAAATAGAAATACAATCTATGCATAGACAATCAACTCTTTTTAAGACAGTTCTTCTACGTTTTGCATAACGAATGCAAAATAATTTATGACTTTTTCATTGCCACTTTATAGATTACTAAAGAGGAAAGTTTTCCAAATCAAATCATTTGGATTTTATTCATCAAGCAATAAGGATTCCAATTTCTTCAACATCTCAACCAATTTGATTTAATCCTACCCTCTATTAATTGCTTGCAAATATAATCCATAAAAAGTATTTTCAATAATTTTAGTATATGCTCTTTTCAATGTGTCTCTTTGAGTTTCAGATAAGATATTCCTCATGCCATCTTCATTCAAGTATTGTTGTAAATTTTCATAATCAAACTCTGCTACGAATTATAGAGTTGGCTTTAATAACAATAAATGTTAATAGGCTGAATCAATTATTACTTTTGGTTCGTTTTTTTTGTGTTTTTTAATGATGAGATCATGCGCTATATGATTTTTGTTATAAAATTCGGCGATATCTCTATAATCATAATCGAATTCTTTATAAATATCTATGAATTGTGAACTATCCTGATCTGTTAGATTTTAAATCAAATTCCATAACTGTCTTCTCAATTCTAATGGTTGGAATTACTCTTTATTTATTTTCAACTGCTAAATTGCTTTTAATTGATTTGAAATGGTATATTTGGATATAGATAACACAAATTTAATCATAAATTAATTTCAGAATTTCGAATGTTTCAAACAGTGTTAACATTGCCAGTTATATTCTTCGGTCATGGATCCCCTATGAATGGCATAGAAGTAAATGCATTCACTCTCAAGTGGAAGGAACTCGCAAAGACCTTACCTAAACCAAATTCCATTCTTGCTGTATCAGCTCATTGGGAGACCGATGGAATAAAAGTAACAGGTAATAAAAAGCAAAAAACCATTCATGACTTTGGAGGATTCCCTAAAAAATTGTATGAGTAATAGTATACCCCTCCTGGGAATTTGAACTTATGTGAAAGAATCCTACAATTACTCCCAGATGCTAAAATAGACAACTCTTGGGGATTAGATCATGGCTCCTGGACAATACTACAGTAAATGTACCCTGAATAAGAAATTCCTGTTATATAGTTAAGTCTAAGCACTAGATTGTCAGAACAAGAACATTATAATATTGGAAAGAAATTGACACCGTTGAGGAAAGAAGGTGTCATGATAATAGGAAGTGGAAACATCATACATAGTTTCAAGGAAATGGAATGGACAGATACAGCAAAGCCTAGACCTTGGGCTGCCTAATTCAATTTGTAAGTCAAAGACATGATTCTAAAAAAAGAACATGATAAATTAATTAACTACAAGAAATTAGAACATGGATTAAGAGCAAGTCCAACGCCAGAGCATTATCTGCCTTTGCTCTACATTTTGGGACTCCAAGAAAGTAGTGATAAAGTGACTTTCTTCAATGATGAAGTAGTAATGTCTTCATTTTCAATGACCAGTTTAATATTGAATTCCTGAGTTTAATCTATATACATCGACATTATAAATTTATCAGTATTTAATAAAGGAGTGGATCTAAAAACTTCTCCTTAATTTTATATTTTGTTGGGTGTTTTGAAATGAAAGATCTAAATTAATTTAAATATTTTTAATTATTATAATTATTTAATTAAAAACAGTTCGTATTATCTTGATAATATTATTTTTCTTAGTGGGGATTAACGATTTAATGTCGATACTATATTTTTGAAGAGAATATCCTCTCAAATCAGCCTTATATTAGTGAAATCAAAAAGGCTTAACCATAAATAATACACTTTATTCACAAAATATATTTATCAGATACGACTGTATAATAATAAATAAGCTGAATTATCGGATTCATATGAGACCTTCGGCTTTATCTCTTAAACAGAACTATCATTCAGTTAATACCACTTCATTGTAAATGGATGTTTGCATTCTCTAATTTATGACAAATATAAATACGCAAAGTAATGACCAAAATTTAAATCTCCATAATGCTTTACAATGCCATATAAATTGTAATTGCAATTCAAAGTTGATTTATCGCTACTATTAATGATAAACTAACCCAAGTCTAATTTGGCTCCAAACTTTATTTCTATGTTTATTTTCTTCTTCATGGGACCTTTGTAATAGAATCTTTTTAAGTGAATAACCAAAATGTCTGGCAATCTCCAGATTTCAAGTTATCTTGTGCATTTTCTTTGTTGTCTACATTTTCCACAGGTATATTGATTGATGTTTTCTTCACTCAGATAATATTTTAGCATATCTTCAAGAGTAATTTAGTTTCCTGAAATATTTGGGAATGCTAAGGACAAATCTTAAAAGTTATCGAAGGCTAGGGATTGGTTTTTGCATACACTACAAGTAACTCTGCTTAATAATTATCCGGTAAAATAATCTGTAACCAAACTATTGTCTCTGCCTTTAAAATAATTAAACCATGTATTGGACTTAAATTAAATAACAATTTTACTATGTCTTCAAGTGATTATTTATTAAGATCAGCAGTAAGTTCTTTGTAGATAGGTTTACCAGTAACTCTATTCAAATCTTCGTGTAAGCAGGTCAAAAGTGCTCTTAGAAATTCTTAGGAGTCTTCTTGTCTATGACCACCAAACTTCTTAGTTGAACTTGCTTGATGATTAGAATAATAAATTTACAGATAGCTTATTTCAATTAAACTGGATTTTCACTGGTATTGTTGGTAGTTCTCATTTACTTTAGTAATCTCCAATATTGTAGAGCCACTTGTTTGTGCTTTGGATTTAATTCTTGTTTAATTTCATCGGATAAAAATTTATCATTAAATTTTGGAGTATTAATAATACATTGAAGAGCACTATTAAAATAACAAGTATTTCCAATATTATGTAAACCACATGCCTTAAAGTATTTAATCTCCTTTTTTACAGCTTTATTAGTTTGTTCCATTTGATGACCATTTTGCTTAATCTATTATTATTATTATAATTATAATGACGAATTATTTGACTACTATTTATTCTAGCCACTAAATAAAGGTAGTTCTTTTTTTTATTCATGTTTTGAAGCTTGAATTGCAACATCTTTATCAACAATTGTATTTTGGTTTGTTGTATTTTGAGTTTAAGAATTGTTATGATTAATTGAGTTAATGTTTTATAAAGGAATTTTTATGGTACTATTCTCTTATTTTTCTTTGTTTTGAATTGGATTAGTTACTGTTTTTTATAGATTCTGAATGATCTTCTAGGTTTCTATGTTTTGTGTTGGTGAGTTGCTTGGTTTTTGCTCATTTTATTAAATTTTAATGAAACTCTAATCATTTAATTTTATTTGTTTATTTAATGGCTAATCAACAAATTCAGGCTCAGTAGATGTTTGCGATGATAACTTATGAGCTCTCTTATAAGCCTAAGATGACAGCGCCAATATTATTCTAGATCTGTATAGTTTGAATCCGCTCATTAAAAAAAATTAATTTTTGTTTATTAAAATATGATATTTTCACTATTTTAGGCGAATATCGTTGTGATGCTTCAAATTCCTTTGTATTGAACTGGCTACTCTTTGAAGTTCGTCCAAGTAACTATAATCATTACTATATCATAATACTTTCTTGGTAGAGTTTGAAGTTCACTTGAAGGAGTCAATTCTAATAAGTTTTGTATCTCAACTAATCGTTAGATTGGGACAGCATTACTGAGTTATGTGCTTTCAAATGATAACTTAATTGTACCCTCTTTCTGGATAAAACTTTGATGTCAGAGATCCCGATCTCATTAAACCGTCCTGTGTGTTTCTACTTTATGGAGATAAGAACGAGTGTTTGGCTCCTGACTAATCATAATAAGTGCTCTTAAAATCCTAGGCTCCTGTTGAAAGGTGGAACTTGCCTGTTTGTTCTTAGGTGCCTATTTGTTGCATCCTAAGGAATTTATAGTTATGAATATTACTTTTTCTTTAATCCACTGATCTTGGCAGGTGAAGATTGAGATACTTATTCTTGATTCTAAGGTGGTTTCCCAAATAAAATGTCTAAAGTTCGTAAAGTATTTTAGTGCTTTCTTGGACTTTCTTTGCTCTGTTACCCTCCTTTTGGACTTTTTGGTTTTTGTCCTAATTTTTCGAAATGATTGTATTTATCTATTATTGAAGTTCTGACTTCACTCCTTAACACTTGATAATTGATCTAGATATAAAATGAAACTAACATCTTTGTTTGCCAATTGGCTAGTGTATGAGGAAGGTTTTTCAGATATATCTGTCACGTGAAAAATTGACATTAAAATTTATTTATTATATATTATTTTTTATTTCTATACATTTTATTAGTGACAATTTTTAAGCACAGACAGCATAAATAAAATCAATTATCTGTGCTTATCTGTTATGATTACACTTCTAAATTGTAGTATGTTACTTATTAAATCATATTTAAATGTATGATTAATATTTATTTTATGGGCATTTCTAAAATGCTCGAAATGAATTTTAATTAAAATTTTTCATTATTTAATGAAAAGATTATTTCATAAACTAAATTTGGAGACTGAAAAAAAGATTACATATGAATAAACTCACAGAAAGTGTTTCTTTTAAAAGGATTTTGTAAGGATGCAGTGGAATAGATCCAAAATTCCTAAAATTACTACTGAATTGAATGTTGTTTAGATAGTTGTTATGGAATCTAAACAACATTAGAAAAAAATATAAACCATAATGGTTCATGAAAATATCATAGTTAAACAAAAAAAAGATGTATTAATTATAATCTATACAGGGATCTTTGTGTTGGATTGATTATGAAAACTCTATTTTAGAAATCATTCACAACACATAATATGGAGAAGGAATCAGGCTTATCAAATGCTTTGATTAATTTGAGATGTTTGGAGATTTGGATAGACTTATGTGTGTATTAAAGAAATTCACTATTCAATTGGAATTTCCTAATCATTATCAAATTCTAAAGAAAATTAGTTCCAATGATAAAGCAGAGGTTAGTATAATAACTTATTATCAAGGTTTTCAGAATAAGAAGTAGAAAGGACAAAAATGATTTTCAATGTAAAATCTATAATAAGAAATTGATAAACGCTACAATAGAAGTTACACTAGAGAAAGAATTGCGTATTTTAAGAAGAATAAATGATGAAAATGTTTAAAAATATATCGAAACTTTTGAAAATTAAGATTAAATTATAATAGTCTAAGAATTAATTATAGGAGGTAATCTGGATCAATACTTATTAAAATGGCCTTTGCTTTCAGAAGAAAAGGCATCCAAGTTATTTTTTAAATTGTTTAAAAGTCTAGCATACTTACACTCTAAGGGTGTCATGCACAGAGATCTCAAACCTGAAAATATTGGGCTGAGATTAAATGGTAATTTAGATAATCCCTGTATAACTTCCTTTGGTCTGGCAGATACCGTTAGGATTACTCATGACTCGGACTCCGATGAGGATGCTCCCAATCATCTTTTTTAGAGATGTGGAACACCAGGATTCGTTGCTCCTGAAATATTAAAAAATCAAGAATATAATTGCAAAGTTGATGTTTACAGTGTCGGAATCATTCTATATTATTCTTTGACTGGGAAGAAACCCTTTGATTCTTAAAATTATAGAGAAATAATTGAAAAAAATGAAGAGGGCATTGTAGACCTTTAACCTTTGAAACTGACTAAGGAAGGGATCCATTTTATAGAAAGTATCTTGTAACCAGATCCAAAAGAGAGGATTACATCTTAAATGGCATTAAATCATATTTGGTTTAGGAATGAGAAAATCTCAAAATTAATGGAATTGAAAGTGAACACAAAGATGAAAAATATCCAATTTAAAAGTCCTCAATATAGACAAAGCATTTAAAATCATAAGAATTTACCTCCGCTGCTGTCAATTAAATAAGGATTAGATTAGCCGTATGGCAGTCCTAGACTATCTCAATTAACCAGTGCATAAAGAAGTTCTCTCTATACAAATTCCACTCATAGAATAAGTAATTTAAATGTGAGTTTCAGTCCAAAAGATATTAATTCAATTAATTCAATCCCTTAATCACAATATCATAGTCTTTATACCAAACTTAATTAACCTTCTCCATCTTTGCTTACGAATTCTTAAAGGCCTTCACAATCACTATCATTCTAGTATCCATTCATGAAATAAAAAGTAAAACATAAGGTCATAGATGAAAATTGAACAATATTGTAAAACATGAATCTTAAATTAGTGACATTATTTCAATTATATTTAGGATCACGAGAAAATGTTTATATTATTTATTTTCTCTGATTATATTATACTCATATATTCAATTCAAACTTTCATATTGAGAGTATCTAGTTTAGAAATACTTTGATTTGCTTTATGAAATATTGACTATTATAAATATTGAGTTGAATACTTTCAGGAAACACAGTTTTTTGTTTCTATAATTTGAGAGAACGTCTTTAACTAACAAATGAGGAAGGAGATTTGGATTAGCTGAGACTATTCATAGATTCTTCTAATGCTAAATTATTAGCACTGTTAAAATTGATATTTCTTGCAGTTTTGATGGCTGTAGATTTCCTATGATCTTTTATTTTAAATGAAAGCAATTTTGGAATTCTATTACTAAAGAAGGGATGACTCAATATTTCCTTACAACTTGGACGCGTAGTAAAATCTACGTCTAGACATTTTCTGATAAGATCCAAAAGAATTGGAGAACATTGAACTTAAGTAAAATCAACTTTGCCATTATAATTTTTGAGTATCTTTTTACTGTGATCTGCATCCTCAAAGGGATGTTTCTAAGTTACCAATATATACAGAATAACTCCTAAACTGTAGACATCTATATTGAGAATGTATTTCTTGTCTTAAAGAACTTCAGGAGCCACATAACCCACACTTCCACATCTAGTAAATAAATATCTGCCGTTCTTATTCCAACTATCAGCCAAACTAAAATCAATTAAACATGGTTAAAGATAATCTTCAGATTATCTAAATTTAATATTCTATGGCTTAATATCTCTATGGAAGATATTAGTATTATGTAAATAGCCAACACACTCAAATAGAGGTCTCATGATTTACTTGATTTGGTTCTCGCTGAATTCTTATGAATTTTCTAAAAGCCCTTATAAAGTCTCTCCTTTCAATTACTCCATTACCAAAAAAATCAATTCATCATTTTCGTATACTTCCACAAGATTTGAAATTTGTGAATGATTCAACTGTCTTAGAATCTGAACTTCTTTCTTAAGTCCAGAAACCTAGTCTGCAGTCGTGTAGTTTTATTTTTCATAGATTTTGGCAACGTAAACAGCCTTACCCTGCAATGTAGACTCTAGTTGCAGAAACTTAAATAATTGAACAATAATTTACAGTAGCATTACTGCCATAATACAATGTTGAAGTAATTTTGTATCTCTCTGGAATATCCCTCTAAATACAGTACTTGCGAGTATAATTGTATAATTCGATTACGTTGTTATAGATGTCGATAGAAGTACCTGATTTTATGAACCTCAATCCTTCAATTTCATTGAGATTAGTGAGATGTAACAATAATGTAGCATTCAATATATTAATATGTTTCTTAGATATTTGTAAATATCATTACATTTTTGGAATAAACAAGGATGTGTTGCTAAAATTAAATTTATTTCTTTTTCAGTTTTCCGTTCTTCTAAATTAAAAACTCTCCCCTAAAAGTGACATCCCCTTACTCATCATTAGGTTTGATGAATAATTTTGAGTTGTCTTCCAATATCGTAGAGTACTATTGTCTTTGCTTTATGAGTTTGGAGATATTAATCATTAATTGATAATTAATAATTAACCTTTTACTAATATAGTTATAGGTATATTAAGAGTGATCTTAAACTTTGATTTCAAATTGCAAATCAATCCTTCCACTTATAGGATGTTTTAAAGTCTGCGACAGAGTCATTTGCTTAAGAATATCAAGTCTAAACCATTCTTAATTTGTGAATAAAAATTACAATTTGATATAAATGATAATAGTTAATTACTAATTCTAAGGTCTAGCATAATAATATTGAAATTGAGAATATTAGAGCAATAGCTGATTACAATTTAAGACAAATGGATAGTGGGTTGGATGAAATACTTTGACAATCCAAATTGTATTTGGACATAAGTGATTTGAATAATATTTGACATAAATATTTTTTATTTATTTATATGCACGTCGTTATCAGACTTCAAAACCATGGTTGTAGGAATCACAAGTTCTGGTGGATAGTAGTGGCACCAAGGAAACGAAACGTTAAAGGTAGATTCATTGAGCATCTTGGATATTGGGTACCTCATGAAAGAAAGGTTGTACAGAGATCAGTCATTCTGAATAAACCTAGAATACGATACTGGTTGGCATAGGGAGCTGGAGTCACTCCAAAAATACATAGATTTTTGTCTTGGATCGATTTATTGCCACCTCCCCTCATCAAATTCGGCTCTAAGACTTTATATGAAAAACCCAAAACCCCAATTTCAGTTGATACATTCAAGCCCTTCAATAGGCCCTTTTAAAGCTCAATTGAATACCAATTCTTGGACAAAATAAATGAAAATTAAGTGAATAATGATTTGAAAAGGAAAATTTTATATTCTTAATAAAAGGTAGAAGAAATTCCTGCCACTTCAGTAGAATTAGAAAAGGAATGGGACAGATTGAGAGCTGAAGTCTATTAAATTGAGAAGGACAACAAGGCAGCAAACCCAGAAAAGAAAGAGCTGGTTTTCAAGAAGATCAATGAAATAGCTAAGCAATGGTTTACAGAAAAGTAGATGGAAGGTCTGAAGCAACTTTCGCAAGAGAAAGCAAACATCAAAGTCGACAATAAAAATTTGAAGGAACAAATAATGATTTAAAATTTGGCCATTCAAACTTAGAAGTCATTGGAAGAGAAATCAACTTGGATCAATGGTATTTTAATTAATAACACTTAGATCTAATTCCTTTAAGTCAAGATGAAGCCTTCAGATACATTCTTAAGGTTAGAAAACGAGTAAAAGTTGCTAGAATTGCTCTCAAAAGAATTTATGATTTCGCCTATGCTTCGAGTCAAGTTGTGAGCAGAGCTTTAATTGATGATTTCCTGAGAAATAGGAATAACAGACAGAAAATCGTCCCCAATGATTAGCATGCAGATCTAAAACACGACATTGTTGAAACGTAATGATGATGACTTTAACGATTAATAGATTGCATTACATTCCTGTTAACAGACCTGTGCATCCACTTCCTGACTTTGAAGCCTATGATCCAGAGGAATATACCGACATTAAGAGACAATCAGAATAACTCATCAAGAACAAAAGTAACCCAATTTATTTATTGTAAGGTTATAGCATTCCAAATGTTTATTTGGAACCTGATTAGATTGAACCTCAACTTAATAGATATGTGGGTGGATACATCAAAGGACAAGGTGGCAGGAAGTCGAATGCAAGGGGAATGGTTAAGATAAGCACTTTTAGGAAAAAGGAAAAGAATGCTTATTAAGCTAGATTTGGTATTCGCAAATGAGTTTATATAAATTTAATAAAATTAATAAGATTTAAATGGAAATCTGACCTTGAAGATATAAAAATGATTAATAATTTATTAAAAGAAACTTAAAATGATTAGTTTCTCTTCGCCAGTTTTACCTGAATCTTGGATGAATTCAAATATGCTTCTCCTAAGTTTAATTGCTCCACCAGAAAATTTGAGTCCCGAATATTTTGGTTCCCTTTTAACCCAGTATGAAATTTATCAAAAACAAGGTATGGACCGGTCAGTTAAGTGAAAATTTTAAACAAATCCTTAATGGACTACAAAGTATTAGTTGAAATGGGAACCCCAGAAGCTGCGAAATCAGCAAAGTCATTTCTTGATTAATTATCTTCGAACTTTATCAAATGTTCGTTTTATTCGGATGAGAAGCCCCCTTAATCAGGTTCCTTAAACAATTGCTCACTCGATCTTATAAATGATTCTACCATGAGCAGTTTACGAAATCGTCATTCTACATCTTTAAATGAAAGTATAAATTTCAATTTCTATATAGTTGTCCAAGAGGATGACAAACAACAGCCTTCAAGCAAAAGGAAAATCAATTCTTCCTCCACACTTCAACACACAACAACATTATGTTTGAATGGAATCAAAGGAAAGAACTTAGACGCTTAAAAACTGTATAATATCTTTAGTAATTTCGGAAACATTGATAAAATCTTACTCATTAAGTATAATCTACAATAAACAAGGTTAAAAAATTTCGCACTCATTAAATACCTAAAAGAAGAATACTCAATATTCGTTTTTGAAAACTGTTAAAAACTGTAATTCTTCGATAGCACTATTTCTATTTCTTTCGTCGCAGAAGATGCTATTGAAAAACTTTTAAGTCTTGATACACTCTACAATGAGCAAGATTACTATGTTGGTTCACAAGAAACAGACAGGTAAAATAGATATGAGATTGTAGATTCAATTCTAGTAATAAAATGAATTTGTTACCACCAAGTTAAGTCTTACACGTCTCCAATCTTAAAAAGGTGTCATCAAATGCTGAAACTATGTGGGATGTCTTTTCTGAATTCGGTATAGTCGAGGTTGTTGTACATACTCATTTTTAGGCAGTCAAAGTTCTTAATACTTAGTTCAAATTTATGTGTTTAGTCAAGATGGAAAATCTTAAGCAAGCTTTGGAAGTGATGGCTTTAATGCATAATGAAGAGGTTGACAATAGAAATGTCTAGATCTCATTCACTAAGGCCAGAATTTGATTATAATGAAGAAACATAATGTTTATTTTATAATTATTCAATTAAATCACATATCAAATTAATAAAATCGAAGGGCATTTTATATATTATCTTAATAAATATTATAAATCATAGTTGTTCTTTTTAATAATAATTATTTATTTTCTTAATTATTATAATGCAAGATCATTTGTAAAGTGTATGAATAATTAACTGCTGACGCATGATTTTATAGTACAAAGCTTAAGAATCCCTATCTTTTCCATAAATAATTCTTAGTATTTTGATGAATAACTTTTCAATGTTCGACAGTAACATAATTTTACAACAACAACTCCTCCTTTAACAAATGATCATCTACAACCAAATGCTCTACTTAAAGTAACTCTATTTTCTTATTCTTCCATTTTAGAACCTAATCATTACCCAAACTCAAACAATAGCCAATAAAACAAAAGAATATAGACGATAATGACTCCTTATCTCACTAAGTCCAAAAATAAGATGAGACTACTTTGATTAAACCAATATCATCTAAATAAACTAAAAAATAATCTAAGGCCTTGGAAAAAAAGGCACCTTGTACTCTTGAAAATGTAAAGGAGCAAAAGAAGGAAACTGTTTAGAAGAAAAAAATATTCTTGTCTATGATGGATATAAAGAAAGCTTAATACAGAAAGTAAATTATTGATAATATCCATAGATTTAAAATTATAGAGGAGAACAATCAAAAGAAACCAATTGCAGTAGTACATGACCATTCTTGAATTTCCTTTTGAATTTGTTTATAGTTTATTGTATTTAACAAAATTGTTTATTTTTTTACTCTGTTTTTGCTGGTTGATTTACAAGGATGATTGGGAACATCCTTATATAAAATCATTAAGTTTAATGAGATATTTACATTCCATTTTAGCAGAAATATTATACTTAAAAGAATTTAAATTTTATAATAATTTTAAGAATTGTACTTATCTTTGCAATTTTGAAATCCTTCATTGTCAATAACCATAGTCTAGAGTTAAAATACAAAAAATATTTAAATAGAGTGATCAGATATGGAAAATATATAATTAATTAGAAATCTATAATTAAATCCTAATATATCATTTTATAAATATTTTTATTATAAATTATATTATTATAATTCAAAAAATATAAAATAATTACTTATATTTAGATTTTTAAGAATGATTCAGATAAGAAATAAAATAGAATCCAGACTATGATTAGTTTCCACTGTAAATATAGATTAATGATTTAGATATCATAAAGCGATAAACATATATATATATATCATATCAATATACGCTTATCGGCTAATGTTTTTAAAGCGTATGATATCATTCAATTTGATTTCCTTCATTTACTAGTCGAAAATCATTCGTATGAGGAAGATCTTAACTGGGCTTGATGTTTTTCTTTTATAATATCTTTGAGAGATTTTATCTTTTCTTGCCATTTAACTAGAAATTAATGTATGATAATACTTTCTTGATTCATGAGCTTAGCATCCTTTGCGATATCACTTTTATCTATATTTTCAACTGTTGCATCTACACAAATTTCACAAATCAAAACATCATCTATATCGTCTGACATAATTTCTAGTTGGGGACTAGAAAGAACTCCTGCATTGTCTTTCTTCTACTCCAAAAGTTCTTATTTTGAGAGCTTTTCCCTTTTTAGATTGATTTAAACAGTTTTTAGATATTTAATTTTCATTTTGTCAAAATCATCGAAGTGTTAAATCTCTTTTATGGATTCATTTAAACGGTTTATAGATTTGTTGTCATACTATTTTTGAATAAATTAATTCACGTATTTCATAGCCTTTTTTCTAATTTTTTCTGAATAAATTGTCATTTTAAAATTTTTTTGATTTTGATTTGTGTCAAGTAATTAATTATAACTTATGATTTACTTGTATAGGTTGGTATTACCAGCAACAGCGCAGAAGTCTTATAATTTTTTTTTTGCTTTTGAGTTATGTTACCATTCCAAAATTTATGTTGTAAATTTGTCAGTTAAAACTAGGATTAATCAATATTTTACTGAAACTTCCATCAAGCGATAAAATAGAGACACCCAGATTTTTATCATTTTTAAAAAACTTTCTCGGAAGGGATTTCCTTTTGTTTTCATGATCATTTTAAATTATACTTTTTGGTTTTACTATTTACTCTAATTATTTCAGATATTATTCTCCAACTTATTTAATTTCCTCTCTTGGGTCCTAAAAGCAATTTACTAGATATTTAATAAAAAGCGATTAATTTTCATTTGTAATTGAGTGAAAATATTGATCTAAGTTTTCATTCATTTAATATATTGCTTGATAATCTCCAGATTCTTCTATAGAGTTTATTTCGTTAGTTTCGGTTTACATGTGTGTTTTTGTTTGATAATTTTTTGATTCAAAATTATTTCAGTTAAGAATGCCTATCTTCCTCGTGACAGTTAATTTAATTTGCTGAATGAAGAAATTGGCTGTTTTGGTTGATTTTCTAATAATAAAATTATTGAAATAAAATTTCTTAATTTATCCATAAAAAAAGGCTGCATTTGTATAATATAAGTTTAACATTATGCTCTGCTATTTTATTTACCTAAAGCTAAGAAGCCATTCCTCATTTGGAGACCTGTTTTTAATTTTTTGAGGTTCATCAATATTGTTTCATATAATTGGAATCATAACCAAAGTTTATTGAGCAATAGTTTATTTAATAATTCTAATAGCATATTTGACTAGTCCAGATTTCAGAATAATTCATCTCAACTGAGAGTATAAAATACTATTAATTTTCCAGATTCAAATTAATCTAAAACATAGACCAGTTCAATTCATAATATAAATGCTAGGAAATTTTATTTAATATATCAATTATCAGCTCATTTAATATTTATAAACGTAGAACCTCACTACAAAAAGAAAAATTTTTAAACTTTATCAAAAATGTTTATTTCAGTCTAACGATTTATTAAATTAAAGGAATATTTCAAATTGATATTATAAAAATCTAATTGAAAAACAATGACTAATTAACAAAGATGAATCTTTGAAGAGTATATATTATAACCATACTGATAAGTCTAAAATGTTAATTTCAAAAATAAATAAATAATAATTTACTAAAATAACCTTTGATATATTTCTCTTATACCTAAACTGCATAAAAAATTTAAAGAAATGCTGAAATTATTCATATTGAGAGATTTAGTAAACAGGAAATTTGTCAAGTTGAAATTTTAAAATGAAAAATTATTACAAACAATAATTATTATTTGTGTATGCTAGAATACTCAAATTTCATTAATTTAAGAAAGCAGTAAGTTATTCAAAAGCTAAACTTATTAAATATTCTTAAATTTTTTTGCAGTTTCTACAGTTCAAGACCATTTTATAAAAAAAGATATTCAATTTAAGATAGGTCAAAACTGTTGGGAAGGCTTTACTATAACTAAAGTGCTCAATGAGGAAGTTAATGATTTTTGATAAACTATGTTAATTTAATAAATTTGATTTATTCTTAATATAGTATATATTAAAAATAAAAATGTCAGGAAAAACAAGAGATTATTTTGGGACTTTGAAATCAGTATCAAACTTGTGTTATCATAGGCTGGAAGAACAGTTTTGAAGGATGAAAGTGCAGGTGCTTGTATACAACCAATTCAAAATTAAGTAATGTTAGACAGTTACGTAGGTCCCTGAAACTCCTCCTCATATAAAAAAATATAGAAAATCTTATAAGCATTAATTTGGCTGTTCAATAGTAAGAAAGAGACTAAATTTTAGTTACATCCTGGATTAGTTGATGCTCCAAAACCATAGGGGAATTGGATATATGGAAGAAAGACTGACTTGTCAGACAAGGCTGGCGACTTATTTAGACAATAGCCATAAGGAATAGGAGAATTGATCAATGAAATTAACGAATAAAAATATGCATCTCATATCAAAGAGCCATTGGGTACAATGCCAACTAGAAATTATAATTGGCCTGAAGAAGCTAAGTCAGATGGATTTGCATTCGGCCAGAAGATTCCTCCTTCTGAATATTCAGCTAAAGAGGTTGTGTTTCCTCCAGATGCGAAGAGAGATGAGGAGAGAATTAGATTGATGTATTTGAAAAGTCATGGGAATTTTGAAGCAGGGGAATAGAAAAATAGAGAATATAATTGGAAGATCAATCCTAATGATTATAGATTTGGCAAAAAGGAGGAGAGAGAATAGGAATAGATGAAGAAAATATTATAACATGAACTCACTTAAAATTAATATCCTAAGACTACTATAATCTCAAAGAATCAAGAAGATTGGAAGAATTACAATGAGGACCCTTTGGGAAAACCGAAGAATCAAGCGTAATTGAATCCCAGAATGCCATAGATATTTGGGGAGATGAAAAAGGATGAATAATGGACAGCTGGATAATGCATCAATGGTTAGCCTACTTAAAAAGAAGTGTAGCCTGATCTTGATTTAGGTAAAGCCACAAAATTTGGCTTTAGAAATTAACCAAAACCAGGGGATGAAACCAGAGCTTTTGGAGTACCTGCAATCAGGAATGACATAAATAAAAAAGGGATTAAATCAGTTGCAGATCCCCAAAATTATGGTGATGAAGTACCGGCTGTAGCTCTGTTGTTCCCTGAAAAATTCTCACATATGGGATTAACAGAACAAGATTTCTTAAGATTAAGAACAAAAAAAGAAATTAAGGAAATTTTTGAATCAATTGGGATTAAATATGGGATTGGAAAATTTGAAGGCATATTTAAAAGGGCAAAGGAAATTGTAATTAAATTTATAATTATTTAAAGCAAAGTGCGTAAGATGACAAAGTATCTGTAAAAGCCTTTTAATTGGCAGTATAAGAGATGCATTATATTGATTGATTTAATAATAATATAATATTTAAATGTCTAAGTGCGTTAATGGGTTGAGAAGCAGATTAACAGCCATCATTGGAGCTTAATGGGGAGATGAAGGTAAAGGAAAACTTGTAGATATCTTGGCTGAGAAATACGATTATTGCGCTAGATTTAATGGAGGAGCAAATGCAGGACACACAATAGTAGTTGGAGGTGTAAAGTATGCATTTCACTTGTTGCCATGTGGAATCTTATACTAGACATGTATGAATGTGATTGGAAACGGAGTTGTGGTGAATATCCCAACTTTGTTTGAAGGTATCTTTTATATTTATTTAAAGAATTGGCTCAACTGGATAAAAATCGAGTGGATTATACTGGAAGACTAGTCATTTCCAATAGAGCTCATCTTGTAGTTGATGGATTGCTCGAGGCAGACGCCAAAAGTGAGAGTGATTCAAGAAGTATTAATTATTTCTATCCCTAGAAAAATTTCTTGGNCTAGAAATTATAATTGGCCTGAAGAAGCTAAGTCAGATGGATTTGCATTCGGCCAGAAGATTCCTCCTTCTGAATATTCAGCTAAAGAGGTTGTGTTTCCTCCAGATGCGAAGAGAGATGAGGAGAGAATTAGATTGATGTATTTGAAAAGTCATGGGAATTTTGAAGCAGGGGAATAGAAAAATAGAGAATATAATTGGAAGATCAATCCTAATGATTATAGATTTGGCAAAAAGGAGGAGAGAGAATAGGAATAGATGAAGAAAATATTATAACATGAACTCACTTAAAATTAATATCCTAAGACTACTATAATCTCAAAGAATCAAGAAGATTGGAAGAATTACAATGAGGACCCTTTGGGAAAACCGAAGAATCAAGCGTAATTGAATCCCAGAATGCCATAGATATTTGGGGAGATGAAAAAGGATGAATAATGGACAGCTGGATAATGCATCAATGGTTAGCCTACTTAAAAAGAAGTGTAGCCTGATCTTGATTTAGGTAAAGCCACAAAATTTGGCTTTAGAAATTAACCAAAACCAGGGGATGAAACCAGAGCTTTTGGAGTACCTGCAATCAGGAATGACATAAATAAAAAAGGGATTAAATCAGTTGCAGATCCCCAAAATTATGGTGATGAAGTACCGGCTGTAGCTCTGTTGTTCCCTGAAAAATTCTCACATATGGGATTAACAGAACAAGATTTCTTAAGATTAAGAACAAAAAAAGAAATTAAGGAAATTTTTGAATCAATTGGGATTAAATATGGGATTGGAAAATTTGAAGGCATATTTAAAAGGGCAAAGGAAATTGTAATTAAATTTATAATTATTTAAAGCAAAGTGCGTAAGATGACAAAGTATCTGTAAAAGCCTTTTAATTGGCAGTATAAGAGATGCATTATATTGATTGATTTAATAATAATATAATATTTAAATGTCTAAGTGCGTTAATGGGTTGAGAAGCAGATTAACAGCCATCATTGGAGCTTAATGGGGAGATGAAGGTAAAGGAAAACTTGTAGATATCTTGGCTGAGAAATACGATTATTGCGCTAGATTTAATGGAGGAGCAAATGCAGGACACACAATAGTAGTTGGAGGTGTAAAGTATGCATTTCACTTGTTGCCATGTGGAATCTTATACTAGACATGTATGAATGTGATTGGAAACGGAGTTGTGGTGAATATCCCAACTTTGTTTGAAGGTATCTTTTATATTTATTTAAAGAATTGGCTCAACTGGATAAAAATCGAGTGGATTATACTGGAAGACTAGTCATTTCCAATAGAGCTCATCTTGTAGTTGATGGATTGCTCGAGGCAGACGCCAAAAGTGAGAGTGATTCAAGAAGTATTAATTATTTCTATCCCTAGAAAAATTTCTTGGTACAACTAAAAGAGGAATTGGACCCACGTATTCAGCAAAAGCATTGAGATAAGGATTGAGAGTCGGAGATTTATTACACTGGGATACATTTTTATTAAAATATCATTCATTAAATGCAAAACTCAGAGAATAAGAGGGAATCTAAATAGATACTCAAAAAGAAATCAATACTCTTAAAGATTACAGAGATATATTGATAAACAGAAATATGATTGTAGATACTATCTCATTAATTGCTAACGCCAGAAAGGATGGAAGAAGAATTTTGGCCGAAGGAGCTAATGCTACTATGTTGGATATTGATTATGGAACTTATCCATATGTTACTTCGTCCAGTACTAATGTTGGAGGAGTTTGCACTGGATTGGGTGTACCTCCATCTGCTATTGAAACTGTTATTGGAATTGTTAAGGCTTACACTACTAGAGTTGGCGAGGGGCCTTTTCCAACTGAACTCACTAATGAAACTGGAAAGTATCTCTAGAAAACTGGTCATGAATTTGGAGCAACCACTGGAAGACCTCGTAGATGCGGTTGGCTTGACATTCCTATTTTAAGATATTCAATCCAAATTAACGGACATTCATCAATCAATCTTACAAAATTAGACATCTTGACTGGGCTTGAGGAAATCAAGATTGGAGTTAATTATTTACTGAATGGAAAAGTTATTGATTACATTCCTGCATAATTAGAGGAACTAGCTTAAGTTGAAGTTGAGTACATTACTGTGAAAGGATGGAAATAAGACATTACTGATTGCAAGACTTTTTCTGATTTACCAGTTGAAGCCTAAAATTATATTAAGAAAATAGAAGAACTCTTGGGAATTCCAGTCTCTTGGATTGGAAATGGACCATAGAGAGAAAAGATTATTTTAAAAGATTGAGTTTAAAATAAATAAAATCATTAATTATTTTATGAAGGCATAATTTTCTTATTATGAAGTAATTTGTCCTTTACTCTCATCAAATTTACAATATCGTTTGTTGCTTATTGCATAGTAAACCTAACTTTATTAATATAATTACTTATTTTGAAACTGCATTTATAACTATGATCTTCGACTTTACATAACGTTTTTAGAGTGAATTGTAATTGTTTTCTTTTTTATAATTTATCTTGGAGTTTTTCCATCATGCTCTTACAATATGCATTCAATGTGCTATACAAATTTTGAGTTATTATCTATTTCCACTTCCTTGAATTGTTTCCATGAACTCAAAGGTTCTAAGTTACTTAAGATAGATTCAATTTTTCTCGTTAGCAAAGAACGTTTAATCGCATATATCATTACACTAACATAAAAAAAAAGACTTTCAGCTCCTGTTGTAAATTTTACACTATTTATAAAGAAATTAAAGTAAGCATTTTACAAAGAACTAATCAATCCAAGTTTAAAAAGGATTATCCCCAACAAATACTGAGGGGCTCTTGAAAATATTATGGTAAATAACCTAAATATAATAAATGTAAATACTTCACAAATGTTTACTAATAGGCGTTAGCTTAATCACTGTCAAAGAACCAAATTATCAGTAAATGTAGGACAGTCTCATTTAAGATACCAAAAACATTCTTAGGGGTGTCTTATTGTTCCCCAAATAGGATCAAACCTTCTTAGAGTGTAGATGTTAGCAAATGCCTTTTAAATTTTTATGGTTATTCAGAATCGTGCAATTTAACTACTACCTTACAAATATAATCTCCAATTTCATAAAAGCAAGACTTTAAAAGAGATTTATATTAGTGAAGTTCTGAATGCTATTTGCAATTTAAATAAATTTCATTTATAATCAAACCACACTCACAAGATGTATCTGATATCGATTTGTCCTAATTATTTATGTCATATAAATAAACTCTGAATAACTAACTCAACATTTCCTTATTTAAAAAGGATGGTAAAATGCTGTCTTATTCAATTTTTAATCGTTATGCTTATTTTTTATTCTATGATGTAAGACTCATCATGTTTTAGAAGATGCTCTGTATTATTTACTTTAAAATAGATATGCAAGTTGGTAGAAGTTTCACATCTGATTGAAATTTTTTAGCTTTTCTTTCAAAACTACTAGATTAAATCGAGATCTTAGGACTGGGATACAATCCTTTTAGTCTTCCACTTGAAAAACCTTCATAGAATGAAGAAAAATCAGTGCTCTATTCAGTTTTAATTTGAAAGCTTCTTGGCGTTCTCTTAGGAGACATTGCCACACTGAGATTATTCTAATTCTTTCCTGTATTAATCCATTTTGATAACTCTTGATTTCCAATAGTCAACCTTGGCAGCAATTTTACAGTTTGAGCAATTTATTTATTGGTCAAATCCCTCTATTGTAAAGTTTCCTTAATTTACCTTTTACTATTTCCTCTAATAAATTTTGTTTCTTATTATGTCATTTGAGGGACAAAAAGTTTTTCCCTTATTGACATTTAAACTTTTGATTAATACATCTATCTCTCTGTTCTAAATTGCATTAAGTTGTCTATGTCTTTACCCAATAATTCACTTACAGTTATATTCTCTTTAACATTTTAGTTCATATGCCAATTTAGTTGATTCATACTATAAAACTAAACGTAGTTCTTTCCTGCTTGTAACTAACCTAAGTAATCTGTTAATAATTTCTTTTCATCCACATTTATTTCTTCTTAATGAATTAACCTGTCATAATTTATCTATTGTTTTAACAAACCAACAATTTAAACTGTTTTATCACTTTGATTATTTTTATTAGCTCTGAATGTATCTACTTGCAATGATAAGGCTATACTAAGGAAATATGAAATCCAATTTGTGCAATCTAAGTATTACCAAAGATGATCAAACACATAATTCCCCATATCATATTCATCCGAGATTATTTCTTAATTATAATGATAAATTGATACTCTATACAAGCATGGCTATATTTTCATTATATATAATGGAAACCAATTGAAACATCAAATTAAATTCTACTATCATCAATATAGATTGTCGAGGATTTGTCTGTAATAGAAAGTCTAAGATAAATGCAATCTAATTTAAATCAATGTTTCTCTCATAATCATTTAAGGAATCGTAAATATAATGAACTAAATTAATAATTAAATAAAAGTTACATAATTTAAATAGAAATTATGGTACAAGTTTAGTAATGATTGGGTAATTGTTTTCATGCATAAGTATTTTTATAGTCTTCAATGAGCGAAGTAATAATAATTTATCTATGTCTTTATTTTAATTTAATTTCCTTGAATTTTAAGTGTGTTTAATTTAAATATCTTCGTAATGGTGTTCCTAAAACAATAGAAAATGAAATACTTACCCATTCATGTATTGCACTGAAATGACAAGGATCAAAAATATATTTGAAAATCAAGTCCAAATATTCAAAACTTCTAAAGTAATCTAATTATTCATTCACCATAGGTATGTTCTTCTAACAAATCCATTTTTATATTTCCTCATTTGGATCTATTTCAATTGAAGATTCAGAAGATTCTTATTGTTCATCAACACCGTCTTAATCCACTTAAATAATATTTGAGGACCTTATTATTTAATTCGAATAAAAAACTAAAATGGATATTTCTGTTTACATTAAACTATCTATTCATCAATTCTGTTCACCCAAGTACATGCTCCAAAGATCTCACTTTTACACTCTTCAAAATTGTCCACAACCAATTTTATTACTTATTCGTCTCTGGTATTAAAAATAAAGGTCATAAAGATTCCACTTCTACTCTCTAGAGACTGTCTTAGTTGTTGCACCAATAGGAACATTGGCTTTAAAAATGAAACCGCAAATTGTTTGGAAATTACTAGATTTTCAATAACATTTTTTGCCAAGCCTTACTATCCAATTGATATTCCTAATATTATAGCTCAAGTACTTTGAAAAACTTTTTCTGCCTCTCCCAGGCGATCTACTACTCAGCATAGCCCTCTATTCTTAAAGCAATGCTATTTCTAGTAACCCTTTATAAAAACTATTCAAAAATTCAACATTCTGAAATCTATCCATCATTATTGACAATAATAGTTTTACAGGCTCTTGTTAAAATGGATAACAACAAAATACTCAAATAGTAAAAACTTTATTTACATTGTCTAATTAGATTTGAGTTTGTGAAATTAGAATAAAAAGGCAATTATTATGCTAATTATTAACACCCCCTGGTAATATTAGTCATTCGTTTATAATCATCCTCTTCATTTAGCTATTGATTGATAAATATATTACAGCATATTCAAGTATCATATTAAAATAAAATAATTTAATCACTTAAATAATCAAATTTGTATGAAATTCGATCTTATAATTACCCATTTCATTTTATTTTTAGCATTCTTAACACTTTTTTGGATCTCTAATGAAAAAATACAGAAAACCCTCATTATGGTTATAAAAATTTAAATAATTGCTTATTCTCGATTCATAGATCGATTATTTAAAATAAATAATTTTCTTAAATTCTTCTACAAGTATTAATTATAATTGTAAAAATGGGAAATTGTAATAACAGCAAAGATGTAAATTTTGATGATGTTTTGTGTAAATAATCAATTAATTTCAGTACTGCCTTGTAAGGCTGATTTTGCATTGCTTTTTGTTATTGGCAGAGGTGGTTTCGGAAGAGTTTGGAAGGCCGAGAATAAAAAGTCGAAATAATAGTTTGCGATCAAAGAAATGAATAAATGCAAGTAAAGATATGCTAGGATTATTAGGATAATTAATAAGAAAAGTGTTAGTTCAGTCATGAATGAAAGATATTTATTAAGTAATTTACGGCATCCGTAAGAAAATTGCACTAAATAGGTTTTTAGTAAATATGCATACAGCGTTTTAAGATAGAGAAAATTTATATTTGGTAATGGATTTGATGTAAGGTGGTGACTTAAGGTATCATCTATGCAAACAAAGAAAGTTCGATGAAAAATAGACAAGTATAGATTAACAAATTATTTAAAAGAATTTTTTATAGCGTGTTTGTTGCTAGCATTGGATTATCTGCATACAAACACAGTTTTGCACAGAGATATTAAACCAGAAAACCTAGTGTTTGATAGAAATGGTATGAAATAAATACTAAAGATTAATAGGATATTTAAGGTTAACAGATTTGGGCATAGCCAGAATTTGGAAACCTGACAATGACAACGACACTAGTGGAACTCCTGGATATATGGCTCCAGAAGTTATGTGTCGACAAGCTCATGGAGTAGCTTCTGATTATTTTGCTGTTGGAGTTATAGCTTACGAATGTATGATGGGAAAAGTAATTAAATTCTAAATATATAGAGACCTTACATAGGGAAAACGAGAAAAGAAATTAGAGATTAAATATTGGCTAAATAAGTCTTGGTTAAATTGAACTAGATACCAGAAGGATGGTCAGAAGAAGCAGCAGATTTTATCAACAGAACTTTGCAAAGAAAGCCTGTGAATAGACTAGGATTTAATGGTCCTGAGGAAGTATAATCACATCCATGGTTTAGAGATATTGATTGGAATAGTTATATTAATTAATCAGCTATTCCACAATACTCCATAAATGTATTTGTATAGGTAGTACTTAGATTAATAATGATAATTTCGATGCCAAGTTTGCAAATATGAAAGAAGAGGAAGGTTACGAGTCTAACCTATTGAACGGATAGTTGTTAAGAAGACAATCAATTTAGGATTAATTTAATGGTTATACCTATGATCAGACAATCACACAACAGCCTATCCTATATAGTCTTACTACTAAATAGACTGTACCTCATTTGAATACATAATAATTGACATCAGGTAAGAGAACCAACATTGAAGAAACCAATCCCCAATTATCCTAAATGTCATAAAAAAAATACAATTTAATTTCTTAAACCCCTAGATAACAATCTAAAACAATGTTAACTAATTAAAAACATTAATCTGATAGTAATCATTTTACTAACAGACTTTAATTCAACTGATTATTTATAATTTATTTTGTAATTATATCCTTTTTGAAAACTATATATTATCACTATCTTGTTTTATTATTATTTTATTACAATAGAATGTGAATACCTAATAAATAACTAATGCAAATATCCAATAAAACTTGGATCAGAATGAGGTAAAATCAAAAAATTTAGATGAACCATATATTTATTCTTTCTACTTTATCTTTGGTCTTAAATGTAAATATTCCGTTTATTATCTCAATTTTTAGGATAAAAAAGGGAGAACATCTGATAAAATTTGAAGATAAGATGTATAAATCTAATTTTATTATCTGTAAATAAGAATTACACAAAACTTATCAATTTGCCAATTCTCAACAAGATTAAAAATTAAATTATTTTATTGTCCAAATTTATTTCTAAATCTTAAGTTAATAGTTGGAGATAGTAATCAAAACAATTTGTTAATATCAGAGACTACATTGCATATACTATTCATAATGAAAATAATAAATTGATAGCAGACTAATAGAATTATTCAATGAAATCTCTTTTTTAAGGAAAACAGTTTTTTAGACCTTAAAAAATGTAATATCAAGAGTTTCAATTATGCATTAAGTATAAAGGTATTTAATCTAAGCTTCACTTAATTATTTGAGTTAATTAATCACCATTGCACTTCAAAATATAATGATTTAATCTTCTATTAATTCTTTTACTTCATATACTAAATTATAAATTTTATGCTAAATTCTTCAAAGAGGATTACTAAAATGATATACAAAAATTACTTAAATTTCACCTTGATATTTTCTGATATATTTATTAATAATGTTGTGATTAATAATAATTCGGTTTTAAATAACATATGTTTATTTGATCAATTTTATAATTATTATCAGAATACCAGTAAGAAAAGGGATGTATAAAATATTTATTTACACTGAGATGTTTAGGTACAAATTTTGGTTAAATTAAGAAATAATTGCTCCCTTGATATTAATTTATTTATATTATCGTATTTAGCGTATTACTGCCGATAGAATCCAAATTAATTATATTTTAATGAAACAAAATGGAGGATATCAATCTGATCATTCTAAAGCTACATTTTTTAATGATGGAAACCATCTATTTACGCAATTAGTGAATGAAAATTTGCATTTTCATGATCAAGGAAGTTTTCAAATGAAATATATCAACAGGGTTACCTAGATAAATATTCATTGGGCAGAAGATTATCTAAAAATTGTTGAAGAAGTATTTAGATCTCGTAATATTAATTAGAAATCTGCTAAGTTCATTCACATTCAAAATACTTATCTGAGGGTTGTCATGAATTAAAAAAATCAGTAATTTGGTTTTAGAATAAGTAAAAATTGTCAGCAAGCTGAATTTTATGGGACTAGCTTAGAATTAGTCGAAAATATTAAAAAGTACGTGATCTAATAAGAGTTTTAAAAGAAATACCAAATAATAGAAAAAATTGGTAGTGGCAATTTATCATCTGTAAATTTTCTAATTTATCATTAGGTCTATAAAATTCAGCATAACATAAGTGGGTAGATGTTTGCTGCTAAAATAGTAAAAAAATCAGTACTAGCAAGGTGCAGTAAGTTTGAGAAGGATTACTTTTTGAATGAGATTAGTATCTTAAGATAAATAGATCATGATAATTTGTTAAAATTAGAAGAAATTCATGAAGGAGAATAAAACATATATATAATAACTGAATTATTAGAAGGAGGCACAATAAAAGAAGAGATTCTAAATAATCACTTTAAGGAATAAGAGATGATTAAATTCATGCATTCTCTATTCAATAGTTTATTTGCACTTCACAAAAATAATATTTATCACAATGATATTAGATATGATAATATCTTACTTAGAGATCCATAAGATTTATAATCTGCTTGTTTTATAAATTACGGAAAGGCTATGTAAATTCCTTAAAATAATTGCAGTCTTAATTAAAATAATCACTAAGATTAAGAAAGGATTGTTAATCTGTGTATAAAAAGGGACATATATTCTTTGAGTACTATTTTGTTGACAGTTTTTACAAAAAAAGTATATAACTTGAATTAAGTGGTGGATGAACTATTAATGAAGAATTTTCAATATATTACTCAAACAGAGTATATGGAATTATCACTTCCACTTTAAAGATTTTTTGAAATGATTTTTACAGACAAACACAAAAAGTAAACTGAATGTTTGACTTGTGAAAAGATATTGGGTTTAGATATATTTAGAGTTCTCCAAAAACCAAGAAATTCTTAAAATTTTGTCTCAAAATAGTTATTTCCCTAACTTCCTAGAAGAATGAGCAAATTTGTTCCATGTTAATCAGAAAGAGAAAAATTAGATAATTCGGAAAATTCAGTTAAGCTTCCCCCTATAAATCGTGATGCTTCTACATCTGCTGAAAAAAGTCTCTCATCAAGTCCCAAATCCTAATGTCTCCTCTCCAGCCATCTTACCACAGTTAAGAAAAAAAACAAGTTAAAATTAATAAATAAAGTATTTAAGTAAAATGACTTGTGACTTGATTTATTATTAATTTAATATTTAATTAATCTCTAAGTTTAAAATTATTTTTTAACAAATCTATTGATCGGGTGATGATGTGATAATTGTTGCATATATAGCTGAATCAAATTTATAATGATAGATTCAATTTCATATATAAATTATTACAAATCTTATCTATTTTTACACAAAAATGAAGTAATATGATAGTGGATTTTTTTGGGTCTAAATAAATAACTAAGTTAATATCTTAAAATGTTCAACTAACTTAGTAAAAAGAACGTTAATACCTTTATTTCGGTTAAAGTAATTGTATATATATGACAAAGACAATTCATCTATTTTAGCATTAAAATAATTACACATTGAAAGTGCAAAATGGTTGGAATACATATTTGTTTAGAAAGCCATGAAAGATATTCTTAAAAAATAAAAAATTCCCCATTTACATAATAAAATGAACTTAAAATTAGCATAGTAAACAAAGTTAACAATGTTAAAAGAGAAAATGTAAATTAAAATTGAATTTAAAGTCCTCATTCTAAATACTATTTAACAAGGAAGCTAAATTGTGATGTTAGACATAATGTTAAATATTACTAAGTATTTTAGTGAGCAAATGAAGAGTGACATTAAATAAAGTATCATTGCCATTCTTTATTTATTAAAATAAATAATTATTCATGGGCACTTGCTGTTCATAATAATAAGGAGGAGAGATCTAAAATTTAGAATACAGACAATTTGAACCAATTGTGATGCCCACTTTAGTTCCACAACAAATCAACTTTGAAGAGCATCGAGAAGAAATTGTCAAAATTTAATCTTCAATGAGAAAGAAAAAGGCAAAAAATGTTGCAGCGTAAATTAGGGAAGAAGCTGATAAAGAGAGACCGGGGGATACTTGGTTTTAGAGCAAAGAACCTAAACATATTGAATAAAATGTTTTAATTACCTAAAATAAGCTTGGGAAATTCAAATTCGATAAAAAGCTTCCTCAAGAATTTAATGAGTGTAGATTCTTTGTTGCACATGTAGATTATTTAAGCATAATTTTAGGAACACAAAAGAAATTAAGGCAATATATATGTTGGTTAGTGGTTATCCAGGTTAAGACATGGTAGAGGGAAATAATATTTTGCTGATGGATCAATCTACGAGGGCTATTGGAAGTTTGATTAAGCAAATGGCAGAGGGAGAATCATACACTCCAATGGTAATGCGTATGAGGGAGATTGGAAAAACAATATGTCAAATGGTTATGGAGTCTTTTATGACTTTGATGGATCTAGATATGAAGGGGAGTGGTTACAGGATTAAAAAGTAAATGATAACTAAATATTAGCATGGATAAGGAAAGGAAATTCTGGTTGATGGTTAAGAATATGAAGGGTCTTTCTTTTAAGGAAAGAAATAAGGATAGGGAAGAGTCAAGTTTCCCAATGGAGATATTTATACTGGATAATTAGAAAATGATTCTATTACAGGGTTTGGAGAGTTGAAATTCTAGGATGGCAGAAACTACAAAGGCTAATTTAAAGATTTTAAAATGCATGGAAAAGGTCATTTTATTTGGCCAGATGGAAGAGAATATAAGGGATACTACTGTTTTGATCTGAAACATGGTGAAGGAGAATTCAAATGGGCTGATGGAACAATCTATAAAGGAGAATTTAGGGATGGAAAACAACATGGAAAGGGAATCCTTATTGATAAACATGGAGTTCAAAATGAAAGTTATTGGAGTGAAGGGAAAGAAAAAAGATTAAAGAGTGAAGCATGATCATTAAATTTTTATATTGTTATTCTTTTGGGCTGACTCATATAGATTTCTAATAAAATAACCAAACTCAATGATCTCTTGACAAAATTTAAGTTAAATTTAGTTAAATATTTAAAATTGTGTTTATAAGTTGAATAAAAAATGACTAACATATATATTAGGGAATTTAAATTTAATAATTAGGAGTAATTTAGAACTTGTTAGATGGATATTTACATATATCAACTATTGTATAAGTGTTTATTTGAATTATCTTACTTTTACTACTATTTTCTTGTATTCTCTGAAATTGCTGATTAAAATTTAGACTTTTTATTATTCAGAGCGCCTTCTCTAGTTGAACTGATAAGTAAATTAATTTAAATTACTTAAAAGTATGCTCACATAATCAATAAGAAGATTTAATATTTTTATACATCTTCTTTAATTTCTTTAAATAGATATTTATTATAAGTTTGAAAAGTAAGTGGATTATAAGGAGAAAAGGCTTATTCTAATTTATCTCAGTGTGATCTTCAATTTTCTCTTAAACTTTCTTAATAGTATTATCTCCTTTAATTCTGATATTTACCTTTGCTTACTATTAATATCCTCTATAATTCTTCTTTTCTTTTTAGAGTGCTTTATAATACAATTATTATTGAAGAATTTCTATTAACAATTTTATGATTATTTGTAAACAACATTATTAAAATCATATTTATTTTAA